ATAACCTAACAAAGTACATAGTTATGATAAGCCAGTAATTGTGAATTTCATGGCCCCTTGGTCAGGGGTTTTTGCGTTAGGGTGGGACTCTATTGATTTTAGTGAAAATGCATTATTTATTTGAAAAACTTCTTCTCTGCTCCTGGGTATTAAATATACTAATTAAGTATATGGTTATGATGAGGAAGGGTGCCTTTTCCAAAATTGTAAAATTCATAGACCCAGGGTTGGGGGTTCTTGAAAGGGGGGCTCTATGATTATATAGTAAAAAAGCATATTTTTAAAAAAATATACTTTTCTACTCCTGGTGATAAAACAAAGAAACTAATTACATAGCTATGATTAGCAAGGGTGCTTTTTCCAGAATTGTTAATTTCATGGCTTCTTATAAAGTTATCAAAACCTGTGACCCAGGGTCAAGGTTCTATTGTTCCTTGGGACTTCTCTATTGATAATATAGTGAAAATGTGTGAATTCTTTGAAAATCTTGAGTAAAGTTGGCCAGGAGTCCCATGGCAACATATTGACTTAAGGCCCTGGGATTGTGAGGATATGTAAAAGTATAAGTAGTCATATGGATATAGAGGCAGTCTAGGCTCAAAGTAGTTTAAATCATGACCCCCGGAGGTAGGCTTGGGCCACAAAAGACGATCAAAATTGTACATAGGAATATATTTAAAAATATCGTTAAAAATCTCCTTTTCAAAAATAACAAAGGAATGATAAGTCATATTTATATGGAAGTTTCCTGAAGGTAGTTTATATTTACGTTTGTTCAGATCATAACCCCCAGGGGACGGGTGGGTCCACAATAGACAACCAAAGTTTTACATCGGATTATGTAGGAAAAATTCTGCTAATAAAGAACACCAGGGCCGTAGTGACTGAGGTGAGCGTTGTTTTCCATGAGCATTCTCTTTTTTCCTTTTTATTTCTTTGTTTCATTTTCTTGAAATGACAAAAGGCCCATGGGCCATATCGCTCACCTGAGCACTTAAGATAGGAAAAAGCAGAAATCAGTTTAGTTCTGAAAAGTTTTACTATACCGTAAATCTGGAAATTTTTACTGTAGATAAATTTTTAGCAAATTTGCGCGTGCATTGCATTCGCAAAAATATTTTTCTTAAAAATAAATCAACAACAAAAAATGTAAGCAAAAATTTTGCTGACGGCTTGTGTATATTTGTAACCGGGTGAACAGATGTTCGTAAGCAGTTGTCATTTTAAGAAATATAATTAAGTACATGCGTGATTTGATAAAATGTTATGAAAACTTTAAACAGTTTAGATGTTTTATCTCTTCTTATATTTTATCTGATTATTGAAAGTAAGCATCGTTTAATATTGTATGAATACGCGTAATTTATTGCATGTACATGCGTAACTTATAAACTGTTATAAAAGTTTTAAGCGCTTTTAAATTTTAGCGCCAATGACAATTCGCAAAATTTTGAAACGTAAAAATTAATAAACAGCTTTTTGACCTAGATTCGCAAAAATTAATCGACGTAAAAATTTCCAGTTTTACGGTATATACATGTAATTGGTCAGAGGGGATGATTTGAACAAACTTGAATCTACACTACCTGAGGATGCTTCCATATAAATATGACCAAACATAGCTTTGCTGTTGTTGAGAAGAATATTTTTAAAGACTTCTCCTATATAATTCTATGTAAAACTTTGATCGTCCATTGTGACCCCGCCCTACCCCCAAGGGGACATGATTTTAACAAATATGAATCTACACTACCTGAGAATACTTCTATATGAATCTGACCAACCATGGCTTTGCTGTTCTTGAGGAGATGGTTTTTAAATGATTTTTGTTTATTGTGGCCCTGCCTTCTTACCCCCTCCCCCCCCCCCCCGGGGGGTCATGATTTGAACAAACTTGATCCTACGCTACCTGAGGATGCTTCAATATAAATATGATCGATCGTGGCTTTTCTGTTCTTGAGAAGAAAATTGTAAAAGATTTTCCCTATATATTCCTAGATAAAACTTTCATCGTCCATTGTGGCCCCTCCCTACCCCCGGGGGTCATGATTTGAACCAATTTAATCTACACTACATGAGGATGTCTTCAGGTAAGTTTCATCTTTCCTGGCTCAGTAGTTCTTGAGAAGAAGATTTTAAAAAGATGCCATAAATTTTTCACTTATTTTTGATTATCTCTCCTTAGAAGAGTAAAGAAGTAAAAATAACGAATAGTGATCGATCACAGAAAATCTACTAATAATACAAATTTTTGAACAGGGCATAAAACACATACGCCCTGAAATTCCAGAGGTATGATCAGGTGCCTGCGAGGAGGGACTTCCCTGTTTATCGGTTAATAAATGCTGTAAGCCTTAAGTATTGATCATGTAGAAGGAATATTCAGTAGTCAAATTTAGTATAAAACAAAGGCCTAACAGTAGGTCATAAATTTTTTATGCAAATCTGTGGCTAGTTATTTCCAAATATGAGCAGGACAGACTATACATCTTTCAGGAAGATAATGCACCAGTCCATACATCTAGAGAGACTTGTAGGTGAAAAACTGAAAATGGCATCAACACCATCAATTGGCCCCCACAATCTCCAGATATTAACATTATCGAAAATGGTTTGGGAACTGTGAAAATAAAACTTCAAAAACGGATATTTCTCAAATAAAAACTAGACAGGACCTAATTGATAATGTTTTAAAAATCTGGACATCTCTAACTCTAACGTATAAAATTTGTATCAATCCTTACCAAAGCGAGTCTGGTCTGTTCTGGCAGTCAATGGGTGTATTACTAAGTACTGAAATTTTGGAGTAAGTATCTTTATTATATTTAGAGATATATGGCCATGAACAAAGTGAAAGCCCATTATTTCGGCTCTACATATCACTTCAGCCATTTTGTGACTTTCAATTTGGTAGTTTCAATGGTAAACAAATTTTAAATGTGATCTGGTACATGTAAAAATGAGTGAGTTTAGTTTTGTTTTCTTAAATAAATGTAAACATTTTTTTGAGATTTTTTTCCGATTTCAATTCCATTACAATATGAAATCATTTTCTTTCTCGGTGTTTTAGTTATACTGTAATAATTTAAGGAATCACTGTCTAGTTTGTTGGGTATGCCAGGGCATCAACAATAGTTGGAAACGTGGGATAATTTGCATAACACGCAAAGCAGACAGTGATTTATATTTGAAATAAAATTTTCAATATTAATTTTAAAAATGCTGTCTCATACATTTAAAACACACGAGGTCGCACGTGTTAATTTCAATTGTCCCCACCCATTGACGTCAGACATAAACACAACCGCACGAGACCCTGGCTCCTGACCTTTCACCTGACGAAATTAACATTCCGGTTGAATTATCAAGAAATTAACTCACCTAACTTTCAAAGAGCTATAACAGGGAAAACAATTAGAATTAGAACAATTATTAGTTTTTAATCAACATACTTTCTCTTGTTCTTAAGAAAACAGGAATAATATTGCCTATTGGTTTGTTTCTCAATTTCAATTCTATTGTAATTATTATTGGTTTTTTGTAATGCTAAACGTCGGTCAAGTTTTATGATAAATCTACCTGCACTGCAAAAATTGATTGAATAGGAAAATATGTATGGAATTATTCAGAAGGAATGGACATCTAATGTGCTGCAGTTATTGACCATGACCAAAGTCTAAACAGGAAACAGTATCTTCCATAGATGCAAAGAAATTTTCTCCTGGAAAGGAACATGAACAGAAATTTAACATTAATACTATTTTCTACTATTTTCCAGGAATAGACCAATAATATTCTCCAGAAATGAATCAAAACGTTCATTAGGAATGAAAATTCAAAAGCAAGGGACTATGAATAGAGGTAAGCATCTGCTGTCGACTGGTCACACCTCCCGTGTGCTCCTTGTTAAGATTGAATAAGCGGGAAAATCTGTAGATAATTCAGAAAATTAATTGTGAAAATAATGGACCTTAAAATTTGTATGAAAAACGTCAGTCAGCATTCGAATTAACAACGTATTGTATGTCAAGGCCATTGTTTCGACCATAGTATCTGCGATATGCTGACTTTAAATCAGAAAGTTTATATCCTTGTATCATCAAGTTATTTGTCAATAGCTTCGTTTTAGAAATAGTATCTATATTGCATACTGAAACAAATGGGAGACATGTACGCCATATCTATGTGAATACTTTATTTCCATGAGGTATCTTAAATATGCTTATAAAAACAAAATAAAAGATTAACTGTGAGATAAAAATATTTATTCATGATAACATTTATTTTCATTACGCAGTGGCAGTCCATAGTGAAAATGAGTATTTGCATTAAACAAATGACAATTCCCTTTTGATACATTAAATATTTATATTCTTGGTTTTGTTACAAATAAAGTTTCAAAATACAAGCACAATAAACATAATTTTTTTAACAGTGAGCTAAAACGTCCCATAGACAGTTAAAACCATTCCTTCGATTATCAATTTTTAGCCAGCCTTTGATTGGAGCACTCCTATGATTGACATTACTTGACCACGCCTTCTATGGATATGATTGGAGCACTCCTGTGATTGACATTACTTGACCACGCCTTTAGATCCTGGTCCCCTTCTTTGTGTACTACAGATTGTACAGCGCTCCTAGAATGACAAGAAAATCAAAGTACTGTGAGAAATAAAATCAAAGACAATAGACAAAACAAATGATAATATGAAAGGTGAAATTATAGCAAGAAACCCATAGGTACAAAAGGGTGAGGCAAAACTTACCATTACTTCTTAAACCTTTGTGTTGCATGTTGTTAAAGTATGGATCAAAGATAACAGAATAAGAAAGCAACAAGTGCCCCCAGTATACTGGTTTAAAAGAACAGATCCGTATATTTAATTAATATACAGGAATATCATTTTGCAATTGAAACTTGGTTCAAATTCAAAGTTCTAAAATATCTTCTTTCATAAACGATAAAATAAAGGGATATATTGAAAAGATAAAAATACCATAGAGTTTGTGGGTAGACAATCTTCATGGAATGCATGTTTACAGTGGAATAATACAACATTGCTGGCATATCTCAAATCTACAAAACAGTATCTTGTATTAACTGATTATCGGACATGAATTAAAACAGATCATGATCAAGGATATAAATTTGTAAAATATAACATGACAAAAATGCATGATGACATTAATTTCAAATCTCAAACTTTACAATTGACTTGATTTCACAGAAAAGCTCTAGCCTACCTGTTACTATGATTCGCTGTTGACAAATAGGACAACACTGACTACCTGGTAAACAAAAAAATGTTATCCTTTAAATACCTACAATTTTAGTAAAATTTTCATGTTTACACCTCTCTCTCTCTCAGACCTTGAATATGATATAAAATTATTATTGGTCATTGTTTGTTGTTTCCAATCATAAACCCCAAATAACATTCTTACTTGGTGATATGCATTCATAAAAAAAAATTACCCCTTCCAGAGAACACACAAGCCTCACTGTCATGTAATCAAAACAGCATTAAAATATTGCTTTAAATAAAATTGCGTTTATCACCAGAAATTTATCTTTTCACACCATCCATCCATCCCTCAAAAATGATATACATGTACCTAAAAATGACATTTCCACATTTGTGTAAAACTTCCATATATAGCACCAGACATCTTTCTCACTCATAAACCCCCAACAATATGCCATACATACTGTCAACAGCTACGCCTCTTCTCTGTGTTTTGACCAGTCTGTCTAGTAAGTTAAAGCTGTCAGCCACCAGAATTCTTCTACAGCCCTCCCTCAATGACATCTGTCAACAGGAAAATGAAAATAAGAATTTTCTGATTCTGTTAAAATGTCTTGTTTCAGAAATTTCAACACTGATGGCATAAGATTTTGAAACTAGTTATTAAGATTGAAATCATTCTCTATTAAGTGAAATATGAAGATAACGAACAGGTGCAATCTCTAAAGTCCAATGAAACGATAGAAATTTGGAGCGGAGCAAACACGGACCTCAAAATTTAGAGGTGGGATCTGGTGCCATGGAGGAGTGAGCATTCCCTGCCGACCGGTCACACCCGCCGTATGAAGTACGAAGAATAAGCTTAACTTTGTATTGAAAAACTCAAAACAAGACTTATTAAAGCAGGAAAAAAACTGGCTAAAAGAAAGAAAGATATTATCAAAGACGGGAATCAGTAGAAGTATGTTTACAAACTTGAAAATTGATAGAGATGTAGAGGCAGCCTTAAAACAAGGAACCTCATACAAACTCTGAGTGGGGGATTCAGAAGCACAGATATACCACGGCCAGTGCATAAACAAGATCGAAAACTCGCCACTGGCTTAAAAGAGAGCTTACACAGCACAGTTAAGGCTGCAATAAGGAGGCGGGACCTAATTTATACGGGAAATGCTTACTATGACATCACACAAAAATATGTTCTACAAAATACCACAAAATGAAATGATTTGCTATTTTAAACTGCTGGATAGCTTTAAACTACATTAATACTAACTATTGCATGCATTTTTGTCGTTGGTTAAATCCCACAAAGTAATATATAAACAAATCACTGATCGTAATGCACTTGTCAATGTGACGTCATATCGTAAAATTTGACGTAGTTTGTATGCAATGAGAGGCGGATCGAGTTATATTTATACAATGAAAAATGTATTTTGTAATTAAATATATTATTATTAGATGCAGATTTATAAAACCCATTAACTTGGATGCGAGGTTCATTTTATGATTTTATCCATATATTTCCCGTACATTCCCTAGACAAGCGATACTGCCGCATATTTGTATGCAGATTCATTGAAGGGTAATAGAAGAGTCGTAATAAATCGATATATTGCAAAGGCATACCCTCAATGAATTATGACAAGCTTTTACACATAAACTCAAGAAGTATGAAGATATTTGAAAAGCGCTCGAACCTCTTGAATTCTTGTAAAGGAATTAATTATATCTATATTTAATGTACTTGACCAGCGAAATATTCAACATTCGGTGTAACAAATGTAATTTTAGCAATTAGATAGTAGAATCTATATAGGTTCGCAGCACTTTTCACAAACTACAAAGAATCTTGAAAATAAATATAAATTAAATTTAGATTTTTAGCTTGGTTATGCCATTGCAATATTGGAATTTATAGATGACCTCAATACTTCAGGTATATTTGCTAAAATCACGTGACTGCCACATCATGCGACAAGTCTAAATAAGAAATCTAATCGTCCTGAACATGTAGTTTTCAACCACATTGCACTTGTCCGATAAAAGTAAAGTCCTAAAAAGAATCGCCCATCCTTGTAAAGAATGTATTTTCTATCTAAAAAATTCGCCGATATTTCCATTTGGCACCTTCACTGTACTACGTACTTCGATGAACGATATCACAAAGACTTGACATTGTGAAGATTGGAGTTTATGTGCTTAAAAAAAAGTACTTAATCGAGAATAACAAAGCTACAGGAATTAATCAAGTATATGCAAAAATGTTAAAAGATAAAAATGTATGAAAGCCCAAACATTTTATTGAGTTCCAGCTAGCAAACTGTCAGATGGAAGCGGTAACAGATATCTTCTGGTACAATAAAGTGAGCATTTTAAAGAAGAAAGTCATTGATTCATTCTTTATAGTCTTTAGTCTTGGGATGAGAAAATAACACACAAAAACTAGACACCTTCATAAAGATATCACCACACAATACTCAAGATTTTATGGTTAATTACAAATCAAAGAAGATCTGTATAAAAGAATATAACTTGAATGAAATGAGGCAGGGCATGTCTTCTGACTGTAAAGATCAGAAATACCTAGGGTACCCGAATTTTTCACATCTAAAGTGCCATAATCATAACCAGCTTTTAACAATGTCAATCATAAATAGATCGTTTTAGTTCCTCCCAGAAATGTAGATCTTGCCAATTTCTGTTTTCATTTTTGTTCCCTTCCGGCAATATCAAACATAACTCAGTCATTGTTATGCTATCAATTATGTCCAAAGCCAAGCTGTTCCTTCCCGTAACTATAAATAACGCCAACGTTATTTCTGAAACATTCCAACACCTTCCTGCCTGTTCTTTCTGTAACTATAAATTATGCCACCGTTATTTCTGAGCCCTTTCGACACCTTCCTACCTTTTCCTTCTGTAACTATAAATTATGCCACCGTTATTTCTGAGCCCTTTTGACACCTTCCTACCTGTTCCTTTCTGTAACTATAAATTATGCCACCGTTATTTCTGAGCCCTTTCGACACCTTCTTACCTGTAGATTATAGTCCTGAAGGATCTTAACCAATGAATCCCTTAATCCTGGGATTTCCATTCCATTCTGGATCTGAGGGATCAGTCTAATGGGATCAACATGAGTCCCAATGTTGTGAAGTAATCCTTTGATAAAAGCTGTCAATAAAATAGTCTCAGAATATTTTATTTTGTTACTTTTACATCCTTTGTAAATTTAAATTATGGAATAGAAAGAACTGAATGGAATAAATAAGGTGGAATCTTAATTTGATGAAGTCTGCACATAGTTCAAATAATTGGATGCAGACATGATCTTGAACTCTTTTTGGGGTAAATGTTTGTAAATACTTTCATATAAGATAAAGTGGAGTGTTCTACAGCATGCAGTGACTGAAAGGGACTACAAGTTCTTATTTCAACAATACAGATTAAAGCTATGGCTAACAAAAGGATATTGAAAAGCTTAAATGCATAAGTGGTCCGGACCTACCCCTAAAAAGGGGGGAGGGGGTATGATTTGAATTAACTTGAATCTACACTAAGAATGCTTACATATTTCTTTGACTTACTGTGGCTTTTTTCCCTATAACTTTGAACTTTCATTTTGTCCCCACTCTATCCCCGGGGGTCATGATTGAACAAACTTGAATCTACACTATCAGAGGATGCTTTCATATAAATAAGACCAATCATGGCTTTGTTGTTCTTGAGAAAAAGATTTTTTAAGATTTTCCCTATATATTCCTATGTAAAACTTTGATCATCCATTGTGGTCCCACCCTACCTCCGGGGGTCATGATTTGAACAAATTTGAATCTACACTACCTGGGGAAGCTTCCATATAAATATGACCAATCATGGCTTTGTTGTTCTTGAGAAAAAGATTTTTAAAGATTTTTCCTATATGTTCCTATGTAAAAATTTGATCGTCCATTGTGGTCCCACCCAACCCCCGGGGGTCATGATTTGAAGAAATTTGAATCTACACTACCTGGGGAAGCTTCCATATAAATATGACCAATCATGGCTTTGTTGTTCTTGAGAAAAAGATTTTTAAAGATTTTTCCTATATATTCCTATGTAAAAATTTGATCGTCCATTGTGGTCCCACCCTTCCCTGACTCAGTGGTTCTGGAGAAGAAGTCGAAAATGTGAAAAGTTTAGACGGATGGACAGACAGACAGACAGATATACTATAGACAAATTGTGATCAGGAAAGCTCACTTGAGCTTTCAGCTCAGGTGAGCTAAAAAGGGATTTGGTCTTACATGGTTTATCTATGCTGAATTTAATGAGATCCGCCCACAGTTCCTCATCATTCTTGTCCTTGCAAAACTCAATTGCCTGGGTAACGTCCTTCAACTTTGTTGTAATCAAGGTCAAGGCCTTCTTCAGATCCCCCATACGACCTAATTAAAGAAGAAAAGAAACATAAAAACAAAATTGTGAAAATACCAAATGACAGTGTTTATATTTGCTGTTATTGCACTAAGAATAAATTGTAGAAAGAGTGAATAATTTATACTTCAGGATCATTATAATATATGCTAGAAGCAGAGTGTGATGGAAAGATAAAAGAATAGAAGGACAGAGGAATGGTAGGACATCACAAACAATATAAGCTCCTGCCATACAGATGACGGGCATAAAAAAGTGGTTTGAGAGATAATCTCCAGAGCAAAAATGTCTAGGTAAGGTTATTGGACGCGCTAGACAGAAAGACATAGTGATTTTAGTGATAAAGCTTACCAAGTAAATAGACCTGTTCAGGAATTAGCCCTCGGACTTGGCATTCGTCCATGGCTTTCTGTAGCGGGTAGTGAATGCTGCTCTTTAGGAATGGAAGCAACTTCTTGGGGGCGAATTCTGCATACAGCTTGACAAGTTGTCCATGGTAGGCCTGGCATAGCTGTTGGTCTTTCTGACATACTCGATCCAAATACTGAGGTCAAAGGTTAAAGTTCACATTAAAAAATATTTATAACCACAGACATCAATATTTAACATTCAGAATGTCATACTGTCGTAATTTAGAGATAATTGAAGCAAGAGTTTTTACTTTTATTATGCTGAAAAATATTTTTTTTGGAAATGTTGAAATAAAAATACTGAATATATTTATTCAAAGGTTACGACGTTTTCAAGAGAAATGTTAGTATCTAAACTTACTGCAAACAAAAACTTCTCATGGTGCTCCAGCTGTTTGACAACTTGTTCAATCTTCAAAACAAAGATTCGTTTCAAAAGGATGGAGTTGTTTAAATTTACTTTGGAATTTTTCTTTGTATTTCTATTAAATAAAAGGTTTATAGGTATAATTTTTACGAGCGGCAGTGACAGTATAGGAATATGTCAGTGTGTGTCAACAGACCTAACTTTATTGCATGAATAATTTTCAATCTTGATATCTCAATCCCTGATATCTTGACTTCTTTTTTTTTTTTTTAGATAAATGAAGAATTTACTGTATCATTTGATAAAATAAAAATACTTCGAATTCTCAATTCAGTCATACTGGTTTTATGTTTCAATTTTGAAAAGAGTATAATAATCAGAGATCCCCACTTTCATGAGTACTTCTAGTGGTGTCAGACTAACTTCATTAGCTGTTACCCAATGGCAGAAATGCATCAAAGGTTAATTCGTATTTAAAGTTTCAAGAAGTCTGCTTTGTTATACATGACACTAAATAAATATATATCTTTTTTCGCTATGCAAGAGCTTGCTCTGATCAATTTTTAAAGCGAGGCATGCTACTCATTGATAAGTTGATGTTACAGGGATTTCAACAACCTCATTTAAAGTCGCATTTCGTAAATTTTAGGGTCTTTATAATGACCTTGTTAGCGAATATAACCTATCATTGTTATGTTTTTATACTGAACTGACGGAAAGTTCCACGTACCTGATTAATACATAGGGCTCACGGTGGGTGTGACCCGTCAACAGGGGATGCTTACTCCTCCTTAGACACTTGTTCCTACCTCTGCAATCTCCAGAGGTCCGTATTTTATGCCCTCTTAACATATTTGTATTGTTTATAGATTTTTTGAGATCGATCACTGTTTGTTATCTTAACCTTTTACATTTAAGAAAAGATGAGATCTGTAGGATTGATAGCCTTTGCCAGGAAAGAGATTGAATTTACATGAAGCTTATCCATATTGTCAATCAAAAGTTTAGAAAAACACGGACCCCTGGAAATTCCAGAGGTGGGATCAGGTGCCTAGGAGAAGTAAGCATCCCCTGTTGACCAGTCACACCCGCCGAGAGCCCTATGTATTTATCAGGTATATCAACTTACAGGAAGCTTATCCATATTGTCAATCAAAAGTTTAGCGGCCTGGTCTTCATCAAACTCCATTAACTGAACAATTTTATCACTGATTGAAGAAAAGAGGTTGTACTTGTGGATCAGCTGAAAAACGTCTGTGTTCCCTAATCTATAAATAGAAACATCTTAAGGTACATCAACCCTCTGTCACCTATATAGAACTTTGCCTTAATTCTAACGATTTCCGATCACCTAGCAAAATTTGACAGAAAGAGCCTTTTTAACTTGACAATTTTATTGAGGAATGCTCATTTATCCCAGAAAAAATTATCCTTCCTATCAGAGGGCCTGTGAACCTTTAAATCAAACACATTCTTTACGGTTCTAGGTAATAAAATACAATTCTCACCAGAATACTTCATTGATCCTCTAATAACGTAAAGAGAGATAACTCTTACTGGATTAATGACTTCGAAAAGAGATAATTCTTACTGGATTAATGACTTTAAAGAGAGATAACTCTAACTGGATAAGTGACTTTAAAGAAAGATAACTTTCACAGAATTAATGATTTTAAAGCGATGTATCTCTTACTGGACTTATGACTTATAAAATGTTAAGTTAAAAGGTTATTTCTGTCAAAATTTTCATCATAATGTACATGCTAAAATTGTGTGCCTTCAATTCTAGTTTCCCTTTTAGAGAATCATTATCTTTAAAAACAAGATTTTGTATGATTATTTGTAAACAAAGGAAGGATAAAGACAATATACACAGAATGAAGCAGTAAAATGAATTTTATACCCAAAAGCAATTTTTTTCTTTCAAAACAAATTAAAAATTTTGTAAATAGAAAATGTAAAAAGAAAACAATCAAAAAAGCATAAAGTAACACGCCAGCAGTGTAAATTTTTGAAATTATGAAAAAATTAAGAGGTCATGATTTATCTGGCACAAAAATTATGACAAGTTTTATATCCCATGAAGCTCTGTGATTTTTCATTAATCTTTACTTGCTGTAAAAGAAGACTAGATGGATGGAACAAATGATAATAACATGTTAATTTGTGAATATAAAACATCATGAAGGGTAGAACTACAAAAAAAATCAAGAAACGGTTAGTAATTTAGGAAAATGTTGCTAAAAATAAGAGAATTATTTATATATATATCTTCATTTTAAAAAGCCCTTAAAGAGGAAAGAATTACTTTTTTGATATGGAAGAACTTCATTATTCCTAAGTTAATTTTCAACTTATCACTGTCTATTTCTTTATGAAGATATCCCTATAGTTTGTAATTAATAAATGTCAGATCAAAAACCTGTAGATAGTTCATACCCTCAAGGGAATTTGAAGTTTTTACCCATCACTTAACGCTGCAAATACTACTTTCAGAATTTAACCATTATCAGGTTTCTGAAAAGGGTTGCGGGGAGGGTCTAGATGGGGTATGCTATTCTAGGAACCAGATTTCCTTTTATAAATGTGTACTACCATTTTAGGGGTTCTCGTGCATTCTTGATTTACATAATTTCTTCACATATCGAATACAAAATAAAGCAGCATTACTTTAACCAGATAATTAAATTTATTTTGCTCCAAACATTACATTTTCAAGTGCTTTTAAGGGATTGCAACTGCAACCAATGCACCCCTACCCCTCTTTTCCAACGGCTTTGACTTTTCGCCAGTTCATTAACATCAATAACTAAAAGTTATTTAAAACTAAAACTTTATCATTAAGAACATAAACAAGTATATTTTACTGCGGAATCATTCAATGTTTTACTTGATAATAATATGTGGGGACGTAATTTTGTGGGTTATTTCAATATACTGAAGATTCAATGAACTGTAATGTTGATATATTTATTGTTATTGTTATGTAAATTGTGCACAAGGATGAACCATGTCATCCACAAACATTTGTCCCCCACAATCCATTGGTCCCCCACGAACAATGAGGATTCCACGTCCCATTTGTTATGACACATCCATGCAACAAAAGCTGAGTCAATTATTACATATTATATTCCAAAGGTTGGAGTTTTTCCCATTCTAAAAATAATAATGTCAGATATATATTCCACGGAAATGAAGAGTACAGATGCATTTCTGAAATATAGTTCTACAGCATTATCCATCATGCAATGTTTACCTCTCTTTGGATTTAGCGATTGAGCAGTACCTGATGTATATAGAATTTCATAGTAATCTTAAAAATTCATTCACTGCATATTCTCTCATAGGAATAGTCATATTTAAGCATAAATAGCATGTACAGTAAAACTTGTTTATAATGAACTCTGTTATTAAAAAAATCTTGATAACATTCAAGTATTTTCAATTTTGTTAATATCCAATATTGTAAACACACTTTTATTAAAAAACCGAAGGAAGTTCTGATAAAAAGAAGGGAAACAGAAATACCCCCAATTCCTCATTCTAAGCAAGTTTTACTGTGAATAAAATGGTTTTGTAATTGATTATATATCATACCTGCTTTAACTGAATACAGTAAAACAATACACTGTTTTAATCATGATAGCAATACACTAAATGCCTGATTTAGTAAATATGTGTGAGAAAATGGGATTTTTTTTGACAATGTAACAAGGATTTAATACAGTGTATCTATATTAAATGTTATTCCATGCATAAATTATAACATCTGTTATTCTATTATAGAACAGAACTCACACAGAGTTGGCTTAAGTCATGTGATACCTCCTCAACCAATCAAATCAACATTACCACAAGCTGGCATGGTATCATAATATTTAAAAGTTTTAAACTGGTTTAATTTGTGCTACAATACTTTTATTCATAACAAAATACACAATATCTTATTAAAATCAAACAAAATAACTCATTCTCTTAAAATTACAAGACAGTCACTACCATTGCATTTTATAATCTTAAATGTAAGTTTCAATACACTGTAATTCAATTGGTGAAAGTTACTGGATTAAATATTGCTATATTTTGTAATTAAAGTTGCTGAAATTGTTGAATACAATAGTTCAATAATTAAAATAAAAGCTTGTTTTTTTAGGAATTTCTCTTACTTTATATTTATTATAAAAAATAAAATTAAAACTCAAAACCAATACCTAAAGCAGAAAGGTAAGGTTAAAATTACAGAGGATTCTTATAAGTGGACACCACATGGTATTAAATAGGGTCTGGATCTTAAATTAATTATTTCAAGAAATAAACACAAGCCATGATGTATTGGTGATTTATTTCTCTACATTTATTATTTTTCAGAGAGATTATGTGATTCAGGTGAGCTCTGTGGTTCCTGGACCTCTTTTTATAAAAGTACAAGGCAACCACTGATTCAAAATACCAAACACTTTTAATCATTGTACATTTGGAGTCATTTACAGAGAGTAACAGTTGAAACATCAAGTCTGATTTACTTTGTAAAAATTGAAAATAATTCATTTTCTCCACAATCTACGAATCTTGCCTTTAATTTGTTTATACTACAAAGATGGATTTCAATCCTGTTGCTTATTATATGAATTAGTAGCAAAAAAACAATCAGGTACCTGATTAATGCAATGTTAATATTGAATAAATTTAATAGAAAGAAACTAACATATATTTAAGATGTTTACACAAAAGTTTTTAAGTCATAATTACTTCCATATGTAAATTTCTATTTTACAGTATATGATTGATCACAGTTATGTGTTATAATTTTATACTTACTTTAAGTAAATAGCCAGACTCTTCTCATACTGCCTTTCCAATGTGTATCTATGAAGTATTATTCATAGAATATATATATTATTTGCTTATATGTACTTTAAATATGTTTTACTGTTCTGTATTTTACTTTACGCTTCTATTAAATCCCACATTCACCTATGATATAAACCAATGAAGACTGAAGAGCATAACTTTTAGAAATAAACCATGTCACAACTCAAAAACATTGTATGGTGAAAATCTCATAACCAAGTTCAACATTGCTATTGCTAAAAATAACTCACAACTCTCCAAGCGCTCTCAGTAGAACTGTGTTGTTACGCTCACGGTCCAGTCGGTCAAGCGTAGCAGTTATTATGGTCTGAACATTATACAGGTTAGATGGCCACTCCTTCACTATATTTAGGAATGTCTTGAAGTAAAAAATTAAATATTAAAACAGATTGTATATCAAAACACTTTACATTCTTCTTTTAGTGGTAATCATATTTTTTTAAAAAAATTTTGTGCTGCTTCATATCCACTAAATAAATTTATGTAGGCACTATGATTTAAACCCATATTTACAGCCTACTTGTGCCAACTTTTTATGAGTTAAATAACCCTATATTATACTATACAATAATGTTTTATTATGCTATATAATGATGTGTCACTATACTTTAAAATACTGTAATTATGCTATATAATGATTTGTTATTATTAATGCTATATAATAATGTGTTATAATGCTTTAATAATAATGTGATATTATGCTATTGAATTATTGAGTTATTATACTATTATAATATATCATTTTGTTATTATACTTTATTATAATGTGATACTATGCTATGTGTTATTATGCTATATGATAATGTGTTATTATGTTATACAATAATGTGTTATTATGTTATACAATAATGTGTTATTATGCTATACAATAATGTGTTATTATGCTATATAACAAAGTGTTATTATATCATACAATAATGTGTTATCACACAATACAATACTGTGTTATTATGCTATTAATACAATATTGTGTCATTTTGCTACATAATAACATTGTGTTATTATGAATTTAGTCTCACCTCACTGTCTGTGTTCAAAAAATCATTCAGTACAAGTTCATAGATTGCTGGAGATAGTTGGGGCTCACTGCGGGGCAAATAAGGGGCTAGAACCTGTAACAGATAATTTTAATTCATAGAGGAGTACATACATGGCTAAAATTTCTAAATTATTGTTTTAATTAAGGGGTATATAAATGTAAGGGGCTAGAACTGTGAAAGAACATTTTGGTCATTTTCTGAAGATTAAATCAAAGTTAATAAATTTACACAATCTCTCACTTGGCTGAAATCATTAACTTCATTTAAAATTAAAAACAAAGATAATAAAAATAGAAGGATAAACAAACAAATAAAGACATAAAGATAACATGATTCTTGATACCTTTAATTGTTTGTATTTCTGAAACTTCCAAGTTTCCTCTTCCCACAATTCCTTATTTTTACCCAGAATCCTTGGGCACTGTCTGGCTGCTTCCTCAAAATTACCTTCCTCCAATAAAAAGTGGAGGTACTGCTTGGCTACTTCCTGTACAAATTAAACAATTGTAAATTAAAGTATTTTCTAAATGATTGTAAATAGTAATTATGACATCTGATGATATGAGACTTTTAATTTGTTTAATATGTATAGTTACATATACTGTAGATTCCTTATTTGCGAGTACTTATTATTGCAAAATGGCTCTTTAATGTCGAATTGCGAGAACAATAATTTGCGAGTGGACGGTTGATCAAGAGTTTAGTTACCTTATAAGAATGCTTCTCAGTAGATGTTCATTTTTCTCCACATTCTATCTTTAATTACCTTATAAGAATGCTTTCTTAGCAGATGTTCATTTTTCTCCACATTCTCTCTTTAGTTACCTTATAAGAATGCTTTCTCAGCAGATGTTCATTTTTCTCCACAACATCCACGGCTTCCTGTAAATAGAGATATCACGTATTTATAAACTGGAGAAACATAAAGGCATTGAATACATGTACTTAAACAAAGAGAAAAATATCAGGGTTAACTTTATAAAATGTTATCCCAGGCTTTCCTGTGAAAGTTAGACTCAGTCTTCCCATCCACAACATATAATTATCAGATTTTAACCGATTGCATTTAAAATGAATCAGAATTTTAATCCCAGCACTTCGCTTTATGAGTGTTTTACTGTAATAGAATTTTGATTTTATTACCAAGTCAATTTTACAAATAAATAAATAATTTAAAAATTTCTTCTACTTTGATTTTTCTATTCAAAAAAATTACATAGCATATTAAAGATGTACAAAAAATGAATCTTAAGTTGTTTTTTTTTCTTTTTTTCTTGTTTTACCTCAAAGTCTTCATGGTCTAACAACCATGTAACGTGATCATCAATGTCGCGTTCCTTAGATACAATAATATCCTTAGGACTGACGATGTAAAACAAATTCTCATCTGAAATCGTCTCTGAAAATATACATTTAGATACTTTCTGTTATTGTCTTAAGATGAATGTACTGAAGAACATAAGATAGGCTACATGAATGCTTTAAAAATATCTGAGTCACGAAATTTTTTTTTTTAGATTAAAGTGGTAATGGTGCCATCAGAGGATAAACAAATAATAACACAAACAGTATCACATACTGACTGCATGGATAGAGAATTCAATGTTTAAAATTGGAAATACTACTTGCTTTCCTTAAATAGCAACCAGACTAGCATATTAATTAAAATTGTAACTCAAGAAAAAGCCACTCAAATAAGACCTTGAACACACCCATCATATCAAACAATAAGCCCTAGATACAGGGCATGTGTATTTAAAAATAAGAACCTGTAGTAAATTGTGATTGAAAAACACATTCAATATTTAAAAATTAAAACATCAATAGCAAGCACCTGCAGCTCTTTTAAGTATGTCTCACCAAAAAGAATGAGACATACAGGTTTTACCATAGTTATCTGCCTGTCTGTGCCCCATCTCATAAAAATTTGTCAAGGTCAAAGCTTTTGCAAAACCCTCAATCACACATTAGATTTACACTCTAATATGCTGTCGCCCGCAATTTTGAAAAAAATGTGTCATAATTTTGATCAAAGATCATATTTCAAAGGTCAGGGACACTTGACAGAGATGAATAAATGGTGTCAAGGTTATGACTCTTCAAGTTTTAGTTCCACGTCACTGATGAGTCAGAAATGTCTTAACCTTGAATCAAGGTCATATTTTTAAGATCAAGGTCACAGGGCAAATGAAATTTAAAGTCATTACTGAAAAACCAATTATTTAAGCATGTTGTTGCCGGTAAAATTAACAAAGACATTAGATTACCTTGTCTAAATGTCATATCTGAAAAGTCAAGATCAAGCTGTCCGTATCATACATTTGGTTGGTTAGGAGTATATAATGGATATTGAGGGGGAGGGGGAAGATACTGTAAATGAACTCTTATTTGCAACGTCTTTTATTAGCGATTCATCAGTTTGAAAATCAATTCATGACTATTAATTTTTGCAAATGAGGAAGCACTTTATGTGAATACACCAGTAAATCATTGGTTCCCAGCGAGAAATATTTGAGAGTAAAACAAGGTTGCGAAACTTGCACATATTTCTAGCACACCAATAAAACTTGGTTTACAGTATTTTTTTTATCAAGAAGAACTGGGGGGCTATTATAGATTTTTGTTGTGTGTGTGAAATTATAAAATTGTTTTGAATGTTGAGGAATTGGTGAATGAGGAGGGAATAGTAAGAGGTTAAGTGTGGTGGGGGTGTTGGTGGGGGGTTGGGGGGGAGGGGTTACAAACCTGATACTAGTATCTCTGAAACAGTGTGTTGTTTATAATATGTATGAAGCTGTTAGTTTTTGTTATTATTATACTTATACATCCACATGATAACAGAAAAGTAAGTAATAGTTATAATTAGCAGGTGAAATGTTGAGAAATGTTAAGAATAATTCTATATGTGATATTAACTGTCTGATATCTGATTTCCATGGTACTTAGATGATTATTTTATGTTACCAGTTATTTATAAATACATAATTTTTTGAGTTACCTAGGTCAATATTTGATATCTAATTTTTGGTATTACTTAAGTCATTATTTACCTGATCTCTGGTTTTGCGTGTTACCTAGGTGATTATCTGATATCTGACTTTCCAGGTTACCTAGGTGATTATCTAGTATTGCCTGTTACTTAGGTGATTATCTGATATTGCCTGTTACCTAGGTGATTATCTGATATTGCCTGTTACCTAGGTGATTATCTGATATTGCATGTTACCTAGGTGATTTTCTGATATTGCCTGTTACCTAGGTGATTATCTGATATCTGATATTGCGTGTTACCTAGGTGATTGTCTGATATTGCCTGTTACCTAGGTGATAGTCAATAGGTTTGTATTCCTGGAATCCCCGTACAGACAATGCATCATTAGAAATCTCCTCAAAATACTCCATATGTGGCTCCACAATTAGCAGGTGAGGTCGCTTGGAAACCTGTCTGTTGTCCTAGCAACCAAAATAAAGATGAGTTCAAGAATCTCTAAATCTTAACATAACTGTGTTTTTGGACCAACAAGCAGATAATCAAGACAGATGAAAAAAACAAATGTTATTCCAGCTCTGAAGAAAAATTCCCATTAATTCCCAATTTGCAGAAATTGAGAAATTTCTAGAATTCTTGTTTAAATTTTTGAAGTCAGTGTCCTAAACCTGAATTACCTCCTCCTGGGTTTCTTTTTCAAACGTCAGAATGACCAAGCTGTCACCCAGCGGAGAAATACCACAGGCAAACGAGTCGATAGTAAACATGGCAACTGAAAAATAAAATGTCAGAATGACCAAACTGTCACCCAGCAGAGAAATTCCACAGGCAAACGAGTCGATAGTAAACATGGCAACTGAAAAATAAAATGTCAGAATGACCAAACTGTCACCAAGCGGAGAAATACCACAGGCAAACGAGCTGATAGTAAACATGGCAACTGAAAAATAAAATGTTAGAATGACCAAGCTGTCACCCAGCGGAGAAATACCACAGGCAAACGAGTCGATAGTAAACATGGCAACTGAAAAAATAAAATGTCGAAATGACCAAGCTGTCACCCAGTTGAGATATACCACAGGCAAACGAGTCGATAGTAAACATGGCAACTGAAAAATAAAATGTTAGAATGACCAAGCTGTCACCCAGGGGAGAAATACCACAGGCAAATGAGTCAATAGTAAACATGGCAATTGAAAAATAAAATGTCAAAATGACCAAGCTGTCACCCAGTGGAGAAATACCACAGGCAAAGGAGTCGATCACGGTAAACATGGCAACTGAAAAATAAAATGTCATAATGACCAAACTGTCACCCAGCAGAGATATACCACAGGCAAACGAGTTGATAGTAAACATGGCAACTGAAAAATAAAATGTCAAAATAATAAAACTATCACCATACTGCAGGCAAACGAGTCGAATGTAAACAAGACAACTGAAAAATCAATAACATGTTTATATGACCAAGCTGTCTCCCAGATGAGAAATACTGCAGGTAAACAAGTTACTGAAGGTAAACAAGGTGACTTGAAAAATAACATGTCAAAATAACCACGGGCTGTTACTAAGCAGAGAAATACTATTTCATTCCAAGCTTTTTATGTTATCTATACAATATGTGTAACTTACTGATATCATGTGTAACTTACTAATTTCTACATATCTCTGTGGTAACTCTCTGATATCATGTGTAACTTACTGATTTCTATATCCCTCTGTGGTAAGTCCCTGATATCATGTATAACTTACTGATTTCTACATATCTCTGTGGTAAGTCTCTGATATCATGTATAACTTACTGATTTCTACATATCTCTGTGGTATTATTGGCTGATATCATGTATAACTTACTGATTTCTACATATCTCTGTGGTATGTCTCTGATATCATGTATAACTTACTGATTTCTACATATCTCTGTGGTATTAGTGGCTGATATCATGTATAACTTACTGATTTCTACATATCTCTGTGGTATGTCTCTGATATCATGTATAACTTACTGATTTCTACATATCTCTGTGGTATTATTGGCTGATATCATGTATAACTTACTGATTTCTACATATCTCTGTGGTATGTCTCTGATATCATGTATAACTTACTGATTTCTACATATCTCTGTGGTAAGTATTTGATATCATGTGTTACTTACTGATTTCTACATATCTCTGTGGTATTAGTGGCTGATATCATGTATAACTTACTGATTTCTACACATCTCTGTGGTATGTCTCTGATATCATGTATAACTTACTGATTTCTACATATCTCTGTGGTAAGTATTTGATATCATGTGTTACTTACTGATTTCTAGATATTTCTATGGTAAGTCTCTGATATCGTGTAACTTACTGATTTCTACATTTCCCTGTGGTACGTCTCTGATATCATGTGTAACTTACTGATTTCTATATCCCTCTGTGGTATGTCTCTGATATCATGTATAACTTACTGATTTCTACATTTCTCTGTGGTAAGTCCCTGATATCATGTATAACTTACTGATTTCTACATATCTCTGTGGTATGTCTCTGATATCATGTGTAACTTACTGATTTCTACATATCTCTGTGGTATGTCTCTGATATCATGTATAACTTACTGATTTCTACATTTCTCTGTGGTATGTCTCTGATATCATGTGTTACTTACTGATTTCTACATTTCCCTGTGGTATGTCTCTGATACACAGGAAAAATTGCAACATATGTTTAACATATGTTGAACATACGTTGAACATATGTTCTGAAACATATGTTCGCCATAAAAAACGAGCAACATATGTTTAACATATGTTTATGAACATATGTTGATCATATGTTTAACATATGTTGCTTATATGTTTTGTTTGAACATATGATTAACATATGTTTATGTTCATATGTTTATCATATGTTAAACATATGTTAAGCTTATTTCTTACTTACATTTATTATTTGATTATTTTGTATTTCTCTGGATTGCAAAGTTAACTAAATAGCACTCTTGTACTTTAACCACTTAATAATAAGAAATCAAAGAACACAATCTCGAGCAATAATCTTGTGTTTATTTTTTCAAACTTCTACATAGTTTTGGCTTTATTTCCCTCACAGTGACTGCATTACTTCTGAAATGATAAAGAAAAAATAATAAAAATTAAGAAGTCAATTACATGTATAATTAATAAATATATACCGGTATTAGTTAGCACAAAAAGTAATGACTTTGAGCACTTACAATTTTTTTCTTGGCCTGTTCTTTGTTTTCTTCCATTTTACAACCCCTTGGAACCTCACCATAGGATTTGAAATTGTCACATGTTAAGGTACTGGATGGCACTACAGTGGAGACTCCAATTTTAAGGTTCTGTTGATTAATACAGGTTCTCTGAAATACAAATTAAACTTTACATGTAATTAAAGTTCATACACTGAAGATATTTGTCATGTGCAAACAAATGCATACCCAATTCTCCTAAACAGTTATCCTTTATGATATGAGTTAAAACAAATTTCATAAAACATTTTATATGGTGTTGTATAACACCATATAATGTTATTTCCAAGACAATTTCACTCTTCAAATATATGCTTAATAACAAAATCATAAAAAAATTTTAGTTTTTCTAAATGTTTACAAATGAATTTGGAATGTTGAAATAGTATAATATATTAATAATATTAAATGGATAATCAGATGCAAATGTATATTTGGATATAAAAAAATACAGGCAAAAATACAGGCAGAGAAATAGACATTTTGTTTCCAGTACATCCCAAAACTTTGTTTGGAAGAAAATAACAAAGCTTGTAATACAGGGTGTACTTACCTATTCTGGAGCAAACCTAGGGTCATGGTGATCTTCCATGTTATTTACAACAGGGAGGGGAGCCTATAAAAATTGTAAAATAGATATTCATACAGTAAATATTTTCTAATCAAATTCCAATCAAAACTTAAAAGAAACTTTGAAAGAGAGTGTGTACAAGTCTCTAGTTTCTCTAGTGTTGAAAAAAATTCTATGTCAATTAATATATAAATAAGTAATAAATTAGCTGATGCACTTTAAATACATTTACACTATAATCTTGAATGCCAGATTAGGCTGAAATTGAGCATCTTTCTGAGTTTCAGATATTTTATAGTTTAAAAGCCAGCAAGTTCTATCCATATCAACATCTTCTGACAATATTTTAGTAAAAAAAAAAATTTGATTAATTTTTCATAAAGTAATTAAACCAGTGTAGAATTAAGAAGCAAAAAGAAATTTCTAAAGAAATATTTTGTTATTAAAGAGTCACCCTGTAATTACTGTGATTAATATATGTATTTATTTTCACCTGTAGGCCTATATAGTGATCGTGCAATCTTCAGTCAAATCAGCTTTGGGTTGAATCATCAGTCTTAACAGCTTTGGGTTCTTTCAATAAAAACAGCATTCTGACACTGAACTCCAGTTGCTTAATACATAATAGGTCCTAAAAACAAACCTTTTCCATTAATAATTTGATAAAAGAACCGAATGGATAACCATCTTAACACAGACTACATACAAACTGCTATGCAAGATTTCTACTTCCACTTTCATGTCAAGATCATACCACATAATAAATATTCAAACGTAACTATTGACAAAAGGAAAACAAATCTGAAAAATTAGAAATGCTAAATGGTTTTTACATTCGTCGAACACAAATCCAAAATAACGTAGACAAGATCACTAGTTGTATCGTCTTTTTACGAACTGCATTAATTACAACTACAGTGAGATGTTATGCAAGTCATGAGAGTACTAGACGTTCGTATGAATCTGTAACGCTGAAGAAATTCTCTTAACACCATGAACTAAATTCTAAAAACATATCTGAGAGCACTTACTTTTTTCCAACACCCAACACTTCTGCTGCAGCAGTGACGTCAAAAATGACGTACGTACACTTTCATCCGATAAAAACCAAAACCGGTCCGGAAATAAAATGTGGAATTTTTTTTTCACTCCAAATAAATCCAAACAAAACGTGGTAAAATACAAATTAATTAATTCTTGATAAACTTAATTTGGGGAATACAATGTTCAAGAAGACAAATTTTGATTTGAAGAAAGGGGGAGGGGGGGGGGAGCTGAAATTGGAGAAACGAGTGGAGGAGGGGGTGCAGGGTAACAGAGTAGTTAACCAATCCCCCTTTTTTATGTAAGCTTCTACAAGAAATGATCATTCTTTTGAATAAATAAGTAGTCAAATTTATCTTGATAAATGTTATCAATATTATTTTTTTAACATGCAGTCCACTTGAATTGGTAATTCCAGAAGGATGGGGAGGGGGGGTGCTTGTCAACTCTGTTCACAGGTTTCCCCCTTCGAAAACCGTTGCTATGGGCTTGACGTGCCTATGGTGTGATTCTATGCATGAGTGCTGGAAACCCCCCTTTCAAAATTTTCTGGATCCCCCCCCCGGACGTGTTAAAATATAACATATAACTCATGTTTTTCATAATAGGCTTAATATTAAATTATTGCTGGTTCACTGATTAACATTAAATTAATTAACATATTTTTTTTATCTCATTAAATTAAAAAAAAATTAATCAAATAACGATAACAATAATTTAATATTAAAAGAAATAAATGTGAAAAGGCTATTGGTTATTATATATAATGTTCAGTATGAATTTTATGTGAAACTCAAAACATATGTTGAACATATGTTTGAAACAACCATATGTTTAAGATATGTTCAACATATGTTAAACATATGTTTACCACAAACATATGTTCAACATATGTTTTGAGTCTGCTATATGTTCAACATATATTTCAAACATATGTTCAACATATTTTTTAAACATATGTTCAACATACTGTCGAAAATTCATATGGTCAACATATGTTCAACGTATGTTCAACATATGTTACTCGAAACATATGTTGAACATACGTTGCAATTTTACCTGTGTATCATGTATAACTTACTGATTTCTACATATCTCTGTGGTATGTCTCTGATATCATGTATAACTTACTGATTTCTACATATCTCTGTGGTATGTCTCTGATATCATGTATAACTTACTGATTTCTACATATCTCTGTGGTATTATTGGCTGATATCATGTATAACTTACTGATTTCTACATATCTCTATGGTAAGTCTCTGATATCAAGTGTAACTTACTGATTTCTACATATTTCTGTGGTATGTCTCTGATATCATGTATAACTTACTGATTTCTACATATCTCTGTGGTATTATTGGCTGATATCATGTATAACTTACTGATTTCTACATATCTCTGTGGTATGTCTCTGATATCATGTGTAACTTACTGATTTCTACATATCTCTGTGGTATGTCTCTGATATCATGTATAACTTACTGATTTCTACATATCTCTGTGGTATGTCTCTGATATCATGTGTAACTTACTGATTTCTACATATCTCTGTGATATTAGTGGCTGATATCATGTGTTACTTACTGATTTCTACATATCTCTGTGATATTAGTGGCTGATATCATGTACAACTTACTGATTTCTACATATCTCTGTGATATTAGTGGCTGATATCATGTGTTACTTACTGATTTCTACATATCTCTGTGGTATGTCTCTGATATCATGTATAACTTACTGATTTCTACATATCTCTGTGATATTAGTGGCTGATATCATGTATAACTTACTGATTTCTACATATCTCTGTGGTATGTCTCTGATATCATGTATAACTTACTGATTTCTACATATCTCTGTGGTAAGTCCCTGATATCCCGATCTTCTCTGTCTTTTACAATACAGACCTGAAATTAAAGTCTCAGCTCTTATTACATCATTACATTATTACATCACTACATTATTACATCACTACATTATTACATCAGGATCTTCTGAAAATAAGGTAGGAGGTTTTTTATTTTATGATAAACATAATATAAAGTGATAAAGGGTATCAGTACAGATAGTGCTGTTAAAACAATTCTTATGCTGTGTAAATCATGGGCACTTATAAACTACTCTATTCGGGAATATTGCAGTAATTATAGCACAAATATAAGTTCTACTGTTAATGTATTTACTATTAGATCGATCTAAATAATTCAACTTTCTTTTTAAGAGAATATATTTCAATCAAATATAAGTTCATTTTCATTGAATTTTACATAACTGCCATAATTTTTTACCTCTTATTAAGATCTAATACAGTAATAATTCTACTTTTACTTTCTTTTCAGTACATAATATATTCCTACTTTCACTTTATCTGCCCAAGCAAGGAGAAGTGTGCGTCCATCCTTCCAACACATATTACATCTGTATTGGTCAGCACGATAGCTAAAATAAAAATACAACTGTGCCAGATCTGTATCTTTTTTTTATTTTAAACCTTTGTTTTGATATTTGAACATTAATTTTTGCTGAATTAGCTGTCTATAATGCAGACACTCATCACTTAAATTTTATCATTTTGTCTCAATATTTAAACTTTCCTTTAATTTATACTGAATCTGATGTTTATAATTATTCACCTGTGGTCTTTACTGATGAAGGTAATCCGGTTCCTGGAGCTCATATCAAAGATTTTTACACCCTGAAAAAAACAATCATTTACTCAAGTCTCTTTCATTTTTGTACCTTGTAGATATACAGTATTACACAGTTATAGCGAAGTGCCAGGGTCGAATGATTTTGATTTAATTGTTATAAATTAATGTAATTATTTTTTACATATGTTAAGTTTAAAACTACGTTATTATGCAAGTGAGTTAAAGGCTAAGTATAGATGTTTCTATGCAAATGAACTAATTAAAACACATAAGGGCTATACTTATAATACAGAAAAGGTTAAAACTTATTTTCTAATGCAAACTTGGTACCCGTGACAAGTGATAGCCAGTACACATTATGACGTCATATTATGACGTCATTGCTCTCTACTACACAATGTTATAATAAGAACATCAACAAAAAGGCTTTGGCGCAAGGGCACACCCTACATATTTTTACAGAAACAGGGTCTAATTAGAAGCATAATATTCCAAAGATCTGTGATATTGCTGCACAAATATTTACAGATCAGATTTTTCGTTCATACTTATAAAGTTTTGAGTTGAAACGGGGTAAAAATTCACAGTCCAGTATAAGTTTCCACAAATTCTTATCAGAGAGAAAGTGCATAGGATTTGTGCAGCACTTTCATTAATCTTTAGAATATTCTTCGTAGAATTATACATTATTTACATAAAATTAAATAGGGTATGCCCTTGCGCCAAAGCTGTTTGTTGATGTGTTTTATTACTTTGAGTACTAAAGAACAATGACGTCATGATATGACGTCATAATGTGCACTAGCTATAACATGCCTTGGGAACTAAGTATGTATAAGAAAATGAATTTAAATTTTCTCTGTATAATAAATATACCTCTGTTGCATTTTTATTAGATCATTTGCATAGAAACGCCTATACCTAGCCTTAACTCACTTGCGTAAATCAATGTAAATAACTGTGATTAAAAATCGCTTTGCTGTAAGTGTGGACTCATTAACATGTTTTACTGTATTATAGGATTGAGAAGATGACATTTTAATGTATACCACAGAAATAAAAGTTGGTTCAAAGCTATTTATACTCAAAGTCTCTCTTCCAATTAATTCTTGGGCCAGTCCCTCCCCGACTGTTTTATTGGCTTGCAGATCTATACTAACATGGTCATTCATCAATGCAATGAAGTCTGTCTTCCTGTTAATTTCTTAGATCAGTGACCCCCCCCCCCCCCACTTTTTTATTAGTTTACAGCTAAAATATTATGTACTTACATGGTCATTTGTCCATGCGATGAAATCCCCCTTCCACTTTATCTCTCGCATCAACCCCTCCCTCGACTGTATTATTAGTTTACAGCTACACTGTATATACAGTATATACATACATGATCATTTGTCCAGGCGATGAAATCCCCCTTCCACTTTATCTCTCGGATCAGCCCCTCCCCTTGGTGAAGAAGTACTGTCTTATGTCGGTTGAACAGTCCCCCTCTCTCATTCAATATCAGCTAAAAACAGGAATAAAAATATAAATTGTCTTTGTCTGTAAGTTTAAATATAATTGTCAAAAATTCATTTGTATTTCATGCTAGATGTCAATTCAACTTAACAACAGCAAATTATTTTGAACAATGGTTTATAACTGATGATCATGAGGGAGAGGAGCAAAAGATATACAGTAAAACTCAGTTATAGCGAAGTCTTGGGGACCTGCGAAATTACTTTGCTATATCCATAATTCATTATATCCCATGTTTACCCCTTTATCCCGTGGATATGACTCATTGGATAAATTTTTCATAACCCACAGTTGTGACGTCACAATGGTTTTTGCGTTAGCGTGATGAAGTAAAATAAAGTGGAGTCCTATATAAAACAGTGTAAACATTGGTTGTGAAGTATTAAACATGGGATAAAAAGAATCTCCCATGATTTGTAGTTGGATATGACTTTTATCCAACTCGTTGTGTGTTTTTTATCCCCTTGCCAAGGCTCGGGGATAAAAAACACACAACTCGTTGGATAAAAATCATATCCAACTACAAATCATGGGAGATCCTATATATATCCATATAACAAATTCATTATAGTATACATGTATATAGCAAATTCAGAATAAAGATTCTCTCCTTCAAGTATGACTACCAAATGTATTTTGGGAAGTATTAAATACCTTGGAGTTCAAAACTTTTTGGATGAATTTAATTTCATATTTAAAAGAATCAAAAAAATAATGTCAGTTCAATACTTAAAATACTTAAAAAATGAGATCTTTGAAAATTCACTAGAAAAGATGTAAATTTCATTATTTTTAACCTCTATGGGACACAAAATCAGTTCGCTATATCCGTAAATTCGCTATATCCAAGTTTGTTATATTCATAAAAATTTACAAGGAATTGTTAAGAATTTTGTCAGGGATTCCAAAAAAATTCACTATATCAGTAAATTCACTATATCCCTGTTCGTACTAAACGAGTTTTACTGTATATATATATACTGAATAGAGACTTCAAATTGACTTCTAGTAAATGGAAGCAATTCTAAGATTTTTTATGAAAGAGAAATGTGAAACATTATATTAATCAACTCTGTAAAACAATTCATGTAATGTAAATCTTTCAAGAAACTACTTTTATCTGAATCTTGAGATATATACAGTACAGTCCTGTAAATGTGGTCACAGGAAATTTATGCATGGGTAAATTTTTCTCATTATGTGATCAGAATTTTTTTTTAAATATCTCCCCACGTACATATCATTAACTGAGAATACATTTTATTTAGTATAACAATAAAGATTTTTTCTGTACATTGTATTCAAACATTGTTCATTATTGTTCCTTTAAACGCTGGTTCTGACCTATGTAACATCTTAATATATATTTCACTTGCGATGCAAAATTTTATTCCCCACATGATTTTGGCTCCTTATTCCTATAATCAACAGTTTCCACATTTACATAGCATTGCATTTTTTTTCAAAGCACAACTTTTTTATGTTTCCCAAATGAAGTTTGGGAACATAATGTTTTTACTGAACCTAGAAAAACTGCGTTAAATAACAATTGCATATGAACTTTCTTGTATTGAAGATACATTAAATGCCTATGAATTCACGACAACGATGGGACATAATAGATGCATTTTAGCCCATTAAGATTTTGGAACAATTAATTTGGTTGGTGAAATGAAGCATCAGAGCTAAGGGGTGTTAACCATAAATATAGAGAGTATATCTAACATCAAATAAAGACAAGATGTTCTCTGAATTTTTTTGTACCCATAAATCTTGCACAGATTCAAACTTCCAAGAAAAAAAGAGTGCAGTCAAGGGGAAAAATCTAAATAGTCAAACAAAACTTATTTCTGCATTAAGAAATTACAAAATAATGATAATTAAGTCCTTTTATATGATTTAAATGAGATTTTATGCAATGATTTGTAGCATCTGACCTTATCGTCCCCAGTAACAAAGTTTTTTCCACTGCCATGTTTACCAAATTTGGGATCTATGGCAACGGCCTTGACCGGTCTGTCAAAGTTCACAGTCTGGTTGTTCTCTGAGGTGTAAAGTCCTGATATCATCACCTGTAAATAGGTCATTAGTGGAAGTTTACATCATATAAATAGGTCACTAGTGGAAATTTACATCATATAAATAGGTCACTAGTGGAAGTTTACATCATATAAATACGTCACTAGTGGAAGTTTACATCATATAAATAGGTCAAGTAGAAAATTTACATTATTAAGATAGGTCAAGTAGAAATTCACATCATATAAGGTCTGAAGTGAAAATTTACCTCATTTAAATAAGCATTAAACATGAAAGATTATGAAGTCTAAGATCCTCAGAAAAAATATGGAGACAGAAAACAAAAATCGTACCCTTCCATCATCTGAGCAGCTGGCTATATGGTCCCCATTATCATCTATACTCAGCTGGTTCACAGTGGTGGTGTGCTAAAAATAGAAGTCACATGACAGTTTGTGAAGTCCTGATTATATTGATTTCCTGTAATAAACAGGGATGTTGATCTATAAACTACACATAACACAACATCTCAATAGTTAAAGCAATTTATAACATACCCAACAACAAGAATTTGTTATAAAATATCGTACTGTAACTAGTAAAATATCTGACAAATGTGTAACTAAAACAAATATGTGTAATGAAATAGCATAATAATAATTATGATATACATGTATAAGCAAAAGTAATACATCTCAGTAACAAGAAACATACCTGTGTAAATAGTACCAATATATATGTAACTAGTAACTTATCTGTGTAACTTAGTAATATATACATGCTTGTAAATAAATAGCATATCTGTTCAACTCGACTCAGTAGCATTATATCTGTTATATATATTATGGTGTGGTAGAATACCTGAGTAACTGTAACATATTTAATATGTAACTTGTAATTTGCATCTGTGAAACTTGTAACATATTTATATAATTAACATTTAAGGAATGTTTTTCAGTTTTGTGTGAGTTATTGGTGTGTAAATCACACAGACTTGTCACGTAGGCATATTTCATGAAGCGCGCTATTGCTTCATGAAAAATATGCCTACGTGCAAGTCTGTGTGATTTACACACCAATAATTCACACTAAACTGAAAAACATTCCATATATTTACATTTTACAAGTTCAAAAGCAGCAATATTATGCTCAATATTGAATTTCTTGCTGCCCTATATCGTTACATTTTTATTAACGTCTCTGTAGCCTCATTGTGACGTCACTTTACCGCGAGTTTCACCATGTATATTTCTACGCGTGAGTATACACAAAAATGAACTTCAAATCAATTGCACAGTTGGCTTAGTAGAAAAACATAGCAAATGTAAATATATCTGTGTAACAAATAACTTATCTGTATATTTAACATATTGGTGTAACTTGCAACATACCTGTATAATTAACATATCAGTGTAACTTATAACATATCTGTATAATTAACATATTTGTGTAAATTACAACATACCTTTATAATTAACATATCAATGTAACTTGTAACATATCAGTATAACTTGTAACATATCTGTATAATTAACATTTCAATGTAATTTGTAACATATCAGTATAACTTGTAACATATCTGTATAATTAACATATCAATGTAACTTGTAACATATCAGTGTAACTTGTAAAATATTCAATGTAACTTGAAGTATCTGTACTTACTGCAGCTATTTCTTTATCTCTCACAGCATTCCCAGCATGGTCAAAAATATGGATCATCCCCCAGTGTGTTCCCACAGCTAGGAACTATAAATAGAACAAGATAAAAACATGGATCATCCCCCAGTGTGTTCCCACAGCTAGGAACTATAAAAAGAACAAGACAAAAATATGAATCCTCCCCCAGTGACAAATATATGGATCATCCCCCAGTGTGTTCCCATGGGCTAGGAACTATAAATAGAACAAGACAAAAATATGGATCATTCCTCACTGGGATTTTTGTGTTGATGACAATACAGTATACTACATAACCTTAGTAAGAGACTATTACTTTACAAATTAGCAAGCATCTTATAACAAATATTATTGCCATGAGTTTGTGCTAATTAATAAATGACAAATTCCTGCAAGTATGATTTGAACACTGAAGTGTATGATTTAGCATTCCATGAGATGAACAAGTTATAAATGATAGTGAAAGGCATAATGTGAATACTTGCTCTGAAGAATATATTCATTGAGCATGACACATAAGACTGTATGATTATAACTTTTTAAGGTAGAATAAATTCTGTACCTAACACCTCCTCACTTTTCCTTTTTTATGACTCTTAAATTTTTGGTCTGACTTACATTCAACTTCCATTGAGATGGGAAAAGATTTTGATTGCAAGTAAACATGCTGGTCATGTGACTACTTTATCCAATCAAATTCAACATTTTACAGAATAATCAGACTCTGGTTAGATAAATTGTACCTTTGGATGAACAGCCAGACAGCTGACACAATCTTTAGACAGTAGCTTGTTCTTCAAGTCATTCCCAATTCTTTCATATTTAAGCTTTGGTTCAACATCCTGAAGAAAATAAAAAAAAAATTAAGGCAACTATTTATAAATTGAAACTATGGTATATCATATTAAACTTTAGATATATACATATTTATCATATCTCCTGTGACTCCTCACTGTGATGTATATCTTATCTCCTCTGTCTCTTCACTGTGATATATATCTTATCTCCTCTGACTCCTCACGGTGATATATATCATTTATCTGACTCCTCATTGTGATATATACCTTATCTCCTTTGTCTCCTCACTGTGATATATATCTTATCTCTGTCTCCTCACTGTGATATATACCTTATCTCCTCTGTCTCCTCACTGTGATATATATCTTATCTCCTCTGTCTCCTCACTGTGATATATATCTTATCTCCTCTGTCTCCTCACTGTGATATATATCTGACCTCTGTCTCCTCACTGTGATATATATCTTATCTCCTCTGTCTCCTCACTGTGATATATATCTTATCTCCTCTGACTCCTCATGGTGATATATATCTTACCTCCTCTGTCTCCTCACTGTGATACATATCTTATCTCCTCTGACTCCTCACTGTGATATATATCTTATCTCATCTGCCTCCTCACTGTGATATATATCTTTTCTCTGTCTCCTCACTGTGATATATATCTTATCTCCTCTGTCTCCTCATTATGATATATATTTTACCTCTGTCTCCTCACTGTGATATATATCTTATCTTTGTCTCCTCACTGTCTTATATATCTTACCTCCTCTGACTCCTCACTGTGATGTATATCTTATCTCTGCCTCCTCACTGTGGTATATATCTTACCTCCTCTGTCTCCTCACTGTGATGTATATCTTATATCTGTCTCCTCACTGTGATATATATCTTACCTCTGTCTCCTCACTGTGATAAATATCTTACCTCCTCTGACTCCTCACTGTGATAAATATCTTACAACTGACTCCTCACTGTGATATATACTTACCTCTGTCCCCTCACTGTGATATATATCTTATCTCCTCTGACTCCTCACTGTGATATATATCTTATCTCCTTTGAATCCTCACTGTGATATATATCTTACCTCTGTCTCCTCACTGTGATGTATATCTTACCTCCTCTGACTCCTCACGGTGATATATATCTTATCTCCTCTGAATCCTCACTGTGATATATATCTGACCTCTGACCCCTCACTGTGATATATATCTTATCTCCTCTGACTCCTCACTGTGATATATATCTTATCTGTCTCCTCACTGTGATGTATATCTTACTTCTGTCTCCTCACTGTGATATACATCTTATCTCCTCTGACTCCTCACTGTGATATACATCATATCTCCTCTGTCTCCTCTCTGTGATATATATCTTACCTCCTCTGTCTCCTCACTGTGATATATACCTTATCTCTGTCTCCTCACTGTGATATATATCTCATCTCTGTCTCCTCACTGTGATATATATCTTATCTCCTCTGACTCCTCATGGTGATATATATCTTACCTCCTCTGTCTCCTCACTGTGATACATATCTTATCTCCTCTGACTCCTCACTGTGATATATATCTTATCTCCTCTGCCTCCTCACTGTGATATATATCTTTTCTCTGTCACCTCACTGTGATATATATCTTATCTCCTCTGTCTCCTCATTATGATATATATTTTACCTCTGTCTCCTCACTGTGATATATATCTTATCTTTGTCTCCTCACTGTCTTATATATCTTACCTCCTCTGACTCCTCACTGTGATGTATATCTTATCTCTGCCTCCTCACTGTGGTATATATCTTACCTCCTCTGTCTCCTCACTGTGATGTATATCTTATATCTGTCTCCTCACTGTGATATATATCTTACCTCTGTCTCCTCACTGTGATAAATATCTTACCTCCTCTGACTCCTCACTGTGATAAATATCTTACAACTGACTCCTCACTGTGATATATACTTACCTCTGTCCCCTCACTGTGATATATATCTTATCTCCTCTGACTCCTCACTGTGATATATATCTTATCTCCTTTGAATCCTCACTGTGATATATATCTTACCTCTGTCTCCTCACTGTGATGTATATCTTACCTCCTCTGACTCCTCACGGTGATGTATATCTTATCTCCTCTGAATCCTCACTGTGATATATATCTGACCTCTGACCCCTCACTGTGATATATATCTTATCTCCTCTGACTCCTCACTGTGATATATATCTTATCTGTCTCCTCACTGTGATGTATATCTTACTTCTGTCTCCTCACTGTGATATACATCTTATCTCCTCTGACTCCTCACTGTGATATACATCATATCTCCTCTGTCTCCTCTCTGTGATATATATCTTACCTCCTCTGTCTCCTCACTGTGATATATACCTTATCTCTGTCTCCTCACTGTGATATATATCTCATCTCTGTCTCCTCACTGTGAGATATATATCTTATCTCCTCTGACTCCTCACTGTGATATATATCTTACCTCTGACTCCTCACTGTGATATACATCTTATCTCCTCTGTCTCTTCACTGTGATATATATCTTATCTCCTCTGTCTCCTCAATGTGATATATATCTTATCTCTGTCTCCTCACTATGATATATATCTTATCTGACTCCTCACTGTGATATATATCTTATCTCTGTCTCCTCACTGTGAAATATATCTTATTTCTGTCTCCTCACAGTGATATATATCTTATTTCTGTCTCCTCACAGCGATATATATCTTATCTCCTCTGACTCCTCACTGTGATATATATCTTATCTACTCTGTCTCTTCACTGTGATATATATCTTAACTCCTCTGACTCCTCACTGTGATATATATCTTATCTGACTCCTCACTGTGATGTATATCTTACCTCTTCTGACTCCTCACTGTGATATATATCTTATCTCTGTTTCCTCACTGTGATATATATCTTATCTGACTCCTCACTGTGATATATATCTTATCTGACTCCTCACTGTGATATATATCTTATCTCTGACTCCTCACTGTGATATATATCTTATCTGACTCCTCACTGTGATATATATCTTATCTGACTCCTCACTGTGATATATATCTTATCTGTCTCCTCACTGTGATAAATATTTTACCTCCTCTGTCTCCTCACTGTGATATATATCTTATCTCTGACTCCTCACTGTGATATATATCTTACCTCCTCTGACTCCTCACTGCTACTTTCCTCTTCTTCTTCCTCCACATCCTACAAACCATATAAACAAAAATGTAATACTAATGTTGTATGTATACTGTTTAAATCACATGGGTTATACCTTTTACCCTTTCACCAACAGTTCCCAGTTTTCCAACAGTTCCCAGTTTTCCCAACAGTTCCCAGTTTCCTTACAGTTTCCAGTGTAAGGAGGATGAACACAGTTTGAATTTTTTTTAAAACACATGGGTAAGACCTTTAACCCTTTCACCAAAAGTTCCCAGTTTTGCAACACCTTCATAACAGTTTACAGTTTACAGGGATTTAACACTGTTTGAATGTTAAAGATGATTATAGGGTGAAATCTAGCTTTGAGGCAAAATTTCCATTTTTGGAAACTTAACGTTTAAGTTTTCAATAATGGCAGACTGCAGAGACAAAAAAAAATCTTGAAGCACAGATGAAAAAAATTCTCATAATTATTATTAACGATGATGACAGAGTTTTATTGCTAGCGCTCTTGAGCACTAGCAACTACGTTAGTCTATATTTCTGAAATACGCATGCTCAACTTCACGGTCGGGGATTCTGGGAAAACTACTGTAGATAGACTGTACGATAACAATTTCGTTTTGTCATACAAAAATAGAAATGTTCCGAATTTACACTGGCCTTTCCTGTCTGATGCGCGGTATACATTTCGTAGGTTAGAGACCGGGCTGACTAAATACCAGTCTAGATCCGGATTCTGAATTTTTCTTTAATTTATTGTCTAACCTACACATAAAAGTACAAGAAAAAATTTGGCCATATAATGCCAAGAGTCTAGACATCTAGCTTTCCTTACAGTTTTACCACCTTAGTGGATAATTCCGGCAAGCTCGGAAAAAACAACAACAACAACAGCAAAAATCTTTTTCAGAGTATGTTGGAAAGACATGTCAATTTAGTGTTTATCATCTGAAAATACATATGATCTGAAGTTTCGTGTTTTGTTGTCTAACCTGCACGTAAATGAACAAAAAGTAACAGTAACTCGGGTCTTATAAAACCAAGACTGTTATTTCTAAAGTTGTAATGAATACATAGCTTTTCTAATCTACCTTCATGGATCTTTCCAGCAAGCTCGGAAAACCACGGCAACCTCGGATATGTTTTCCGAGCTTGCTGGAAAGGCCTGAAGGTGCTTATTGGTTCTACTGACCTTTTATTTTTCCCCTCGAAATTGAAATTACAGTAAAATACAGAATGCTTAAAGCACAGTTAGGAGTTATGCCATAGCCAACGTGAAGCACACTCTTAGATTCACCATTCTGAACTGTGACCCCCCCCCCACCCCCCTAAACTCAACCCCCAGTGCACCAATCTGCCTTCCTATTAATAATTAATCAATTCAGTAAATTTAACAAATGGTTCAGATATCTTCTTCTGTATTTTACATGTATTATGCTACAGCGCTAGCTCACCAATCTTGTTAAAAGATAAGCTTGTTTTATTTATGCTGGGGACTATCAGGGATCAACATTAACAGATGTCCAATTCCTGAGGCAAGTAATTTCTTGGTTCAGGCAAGTGAAACTGTCAACAGAACATAACTGTCCAGCGGTAAGTGAATTTTTCTGTTTTCTTTTTTGGTTAGGCTATATTAAATAAAAAAATTCCTAGATTCTCATCAGAATTTTTTGAAAAATCAAGGTAGGCTGGCGGATTATATTTTATATTTTTTCCATTGTGCAGATTTTGTGCTGACCTGATCATTCGGTGCAGTTTTATCTATAATGCCCAAATATAAGTCATAGTAGAGGTCCATTTATATATCTCTTACTACTCATCATCAGTCAGGGGTATAACTCAAACAAGTTATCAGAAAAATAACTTAAATAAGTTATTTTACACACACAATTTTTTTTTTAATAATAACTAAAATAAGTTATTTTTATATCCTACTTGGACATTGATTTCTTGGGAGTTTTGTATTTCCTGCCAATATGCATTGCATTTTGGGATTCCATTATGTAATACTAGATGGAGTGCACCGACTCCAATAGAGAATTGGTGAGGAGGTGGAGATAAACAGCATTTTAATCCTTATTTTGTGGTTTTATTTACATGGTTTATACGTCCAATTTTTATCGTTAAATAAAAAACTTTCCCCAATTTTCCCAAGACTTTGAACATTTTTTCTGGATTGAGCAAGGTTTAAATTTAATCAAACATTTGTTTTTGTCTTGGTGCACGAGCAAAAACCTTTGGTGGACGGGGTCTGAAGTTAGGGAGGAATGACACAAAATAACTTAAACAAGTTATTAATTTATTGAAACTATTTTGGAAAGATAACGTGTTTGAGTTACTAATGCCGGGAAAAAGTAGGTCATAGCCAAGAGAGGTAACTCACTGTGACAAAAAAATAACTCATTTGAGTTATTTTTTACAATAACTTGTTTGCATTATGCCCCTGACTGATCATCACTAGTCCTTCACAACCAGTGATCCTTGTTTAATACATATTACAGCAATAACCATCTTGTCAGCTGTCAAATTCATGCCCACATTCATGGGATTTAAAACGAAAGTTGAATGGTAGTTGAATACCGATCCAAATCAGAATCAAGATGAAGAAAAAGCAGAAATTAAAAAAATCAAGGAGGGGTAAAAAATCGGGGTGGGCGGGGATGAGAATCTAGGAATTTTTTTTTAATGGCCTTAATACGCTCTACGTCTTATAACTTTGTTACCTAAATATTAGAAAAATAGATTATTTATTCACTCACCGAATGTAACACAAATTATCCAGATCATTATGATTCATAGCAACTGTTTTCCATTAGCATAGCTTCACAGTTATATCTAGAAATCAAAATTCACAAAGGGTCCTAACAATTTTTGAAATAATTTTTAAAAATATAATTTTATTTATAAAGGAAATAGGGAGTTATTGCTGCATGGCAGTATGTGTTTACATGTTAAATTGATTTAGAATAACTAAATACATTTATGTACATATGTACAGATTGACGTAGATTTTTTTCTGGTAGCTCATCTTGCCAAATAAACACTTAGTCTAGTGTATCTGGTCATACTTTTTTATCGAAAAAATTTATTTTCTTCTTTTTTAACTTTGGGCATTGTTGAGCAACCAAGTTTTGCATTCAGGCAAGTTAAAGATTTAGATGACTTGCCCAAAGGGCAAGTGAATCTGAGAGTTAACACCTATCCCTGACGATTAAGAACTTCTTATCATATCACAAATCCAAACCACTAAGATAATGATAAAGAATTTAGGCCTTTCTCCAGCATATAACTGTGGTATAATTTTTAATATAATAACACTGTTTTTAATAAATTTCTTCAAAAGTTCAAATTTAACGTGTTCAGGATAATGACTGCTTTTTCTTAATTACCTGATTTACTTGTAAATTAATCTGTATTGAGCTTGCAAATGGTATAAATGTACACCTAAACATATGTTTCTCTCTGCTGATATAATCTCAACTCTGTATAATATTTTATTTAGAAGTTATAATATTTTAAACATAACACATAGATTTTTATTAAATTTCATTGTCCTAGTGTAAATTTATACAAGGGAAATTCTTTGATGAAAAGGTTAATTAATCCAATGCTATGAAGGAGTCAAACGAAGCTGAAAATATTAATGTTCTGTCATATAAAATGCCATGTGCTGTCCTCTGCAGTCAGAAGTTTTAATCAAAGACAAATACATGTAACTAATCAAAATTTACAAAATGAATGAAAAAAAAATGTTGAAACCCCTTAGGGGAACTTGATATGAGACACAATAAACACAGGTCACTGAATTTTACTGAAAATCTAGATGTCATTGTCTAAATTGAAATCATTTGAGAGGTATAAAATTCATTAATTAACATTTGGCTAACTGCACTTGCCTTATCAGTTTCACTGTCTGACATAGTTATTATCGGTTTGTAATTTGATAACCTGTTGTCGTTCAGTTTTAAAAAATGCTGTGTTATTATTCCTTGTAACTTTGTTCATATTTCCCAGAAGCTAAACAGGGTACACCAACTCCTTAACCAGGTCCAGCACAATACCCTGATAAAGGTATATAGCTTGATAAAGCTATATAGCTCTATCAAGGTATTACAAATACGTTGATCAAGGTATTTTATGTCATGAAAATACAAAAAAAAAATCTTTAAAAATTAAATTTAAAAATCGAATTATGAGTTGGGGTCAGTGTGTTCACTCGTGCATTGAAAAGCACTCTGGAATCAAGAAGACAGCATAAAAGAATGTCTCCTCACATGTTTTTATACTGAATTCTTTGTGTTTGAGTACTTTACATGCATGAGTGAATTTCCTGACAGCAACTCAGAACTCGACTTTCAGTATTTATTATTTATGATTTTTTTGTATTTTCATTACATAAAATGCCTTGATCAAGGTATTTGTAATACCTTGATAAAGCTATGTAGCTTTATCAAGTTATATACCTTTATCAGGGTATTGTGCTGGACCTATTAACTATATCAGACGGTAAGGGCCTACATTTGCTAGTTGACCCGAAAACACTGCGACATTAAAATCGGTAAGCAATACAAAATACACATTTCCAAAAATGGAGAATATGCATCAGATTTAACACATAGCACATAGCAATATCGCATTTTCTAGAACAAAAAGAAAAGAAAAATCAATATTTACAACTTGACGTTCATCCTGACTGGAAGTCGCCATTTTGTTTTGTCACATGACCGGTAGAAAAATAATTCTTCGGAATACTTCTGTTCTTTTCCATATGAAAGGGAATTCAAATAGAAAATATCCGAGTACACTGCAGCAACGATTTTTTTGGTTTTTAATGGTGCATTGTCATGCAGTTATGTTTCGCGGATTAGCAAAATTTAAACATGTTTCATGTGATGTTTGAATATTCTGATGAGTATTTTAATCGCAAGATCGGAAATACATGCATCGTGAATGAGAACTATTGTGTTTATTCATACGCCATTTTCATCAGAGTAGTCATTAATTGGTACAAAACTGATAATCTATTATCCCTTAAAATGATTTCTATGCATATTCTATAATATTGTTTAACACAAAAAAGCCTAAGACATATTATAATCGAAAAGGACGAAAAATATTGTAAACTCTATAGGATCATTATTTTTTCTATAATTTTCTTTTACAATGAAGGAATACTCCCTTCAGTTGATGGCGTAATTGGGGAAATTTGATAGCTTGACAGCGCTTTCCAAATTTAGCTACTAGCTCTTCGATTGTCTGGAACTACTTTTCCCGGGTCATAACGGTGCGAAGTCATTGTAATATTTATGTAGCGGCGTCTCATTAGCATAATTTATAATAAGATACGTTTTCCCGGCATAAATTAATGTCAATATTTGTAAATCTATAAAATTGAAGAATTGCGGATGCAAATATTGACAACAAAAATTAACCAGAAAGATTGCGTTTGGAGTGTTTGATGTTCAGTCGCTCGATCCTCTAGGTAAGTGTTGCTCTTAACAGAAAAAAAGATACATTTTCATATATTATGAAAAAGTATTAGCATAATTTATAGGTACATATAATGGATAATGTATTAAGTATATATTTACAAATATCACGGGCATGAAAAGTCTATTTCCTTTGTTATGAATGAAATCGGGAGGGGAAAAAATTACCGATCGGGTGTTGTATGTGATTTTCAAAGATGGCTGGATGATACTGCTGCTGGAATGTTAAGAGTGCATTGAAAGGGCACCGTGTGAACTGAAAAATTGTGGTGTCTCCCGTGTATTCAGAATTATTATCATAAAATATTGTACACACACCCTCCTAATGATATTTTTAATAATTTATTATTTTTCATATTTAACAAATATTGAAAGATTTTTAAGACCCCCCCCCCCCCCCCCCCGAAAAAGAATAAATGATAATATTAATGTATACATAAGATTTTTTTTTTTTGCGCAGCTTTCTGGAAAGTAGAGCAAATATATATATATAGTGATGTGTCTGTGTTGAGAAAAATAAATTCTTTCTAATAGATACTTTTTATTTTTGATGCATGTTATGTGAAAATATGTAGTATTTTAAATTTCTACAAACCATCATTTTATTGGATATGTTTCAATCTTCCATCTTCCCAAATTTGCTACGCATTCTTTGGGCACCATCATGGTTGTAGGAACACGTTTTTGTACACCAATTATTAAGCATATGTATAAATAAAATGTGCATTTCAACATGTTCAATTGGGGAAAAAAAACCTAAACATAATATAATAAGGCAAAATCTGTAATATTTTGGGAAACTATATCATTATTAACCCAGTAAAAGCTTTTTTTTTTCTTTCTTTCTTTTTTTTGCTGTTAAGTATAAGTAATTTTAAGACATAGTAAACCATTGTTTGCTGTGAAAATGTGTGTTTCTGTATTTGTTCCAACTAAAATTAACAATTGCCATGTGGGTTCCTAAAGTTTAAGATCCTGAAATGAAATATTTAGAAGCCCATATAAGAAGATGAGTCTGCAAACAACATGTTCTTGGAAAAACCAGTGTTTTCAAAATTTTTAAATCACTCATCTTATAAGCTCAGAAAGAAAAATAAATTACTGCACCAAAAATGCCCCTTATTATTTTCAACAGCCTTTGATCTTGCACGTTTCTTCTCTTAGGATATAGAGTCTTTAATCGGAAACATAAATGACATGATTTATGTCTGCTTTAGCAAATTTGGTCATCCATTGTTACCATGCAGCTTACATCTTTGCTGTGTTCGTAACCTTTATCAGTGCACCCCAATTCTGATCTTTTAAAAATTTGCATCATTTTTTCAAATGCTCATTTGGACCCACGTTTTCTTGTAAATTATCGGTCCAGAGAAATTTTCATCGGCCTTGTTGACAGGGCCAGCAGTTTTTTGACAACTCTGTCTGACAACAAATAAAACATTAAGGAAAACTGTCCTTTTATATATAAAAAAAATGTGTCATGAAATGCGTTGGACCAGATGAACCATAGTAGGATTTGGTTCTGGGGCCCCTGGACAGGTGCTCCACTAACTGAGCTAACCTGACTGAACACCGCAATCCTCCCACAGTTCAATTTCCATTTGTATTCAACGCAGTTCTAGAGGTGACACGTTATGCAGTAGTAATTATATAACTAACATGACCAAACAACACTAAGTCATATTCCAGGAAAGAAAGTTGATTTGTCTCCCTTTTCTTCTTCAGTGTCCCTACTATCAGTGATTTAAACCTGACAATTTTTCATGTATTTAACTTTTTCTCTAATGAATGATTCCATAAAAATTGTAGAGCTAATCAGTTTTCTAAAGGCCCTGTATGCCTGGCCTTGGGAGAATTGAATGTTGTAAAGACAAAGCAAGGCTCTCATACAGTTCTCTGCTACAGTGGGGCCAGGGCTGTTAAAATTGGGAAAGTTAGTGACATTTTGGAGAAATCATTTTACATTAAAAACTTATCATGCGTGTCATATGTTGGGTTTCTGGTGTTTTCTTAAACTTTTATTTCTCACTCATGTTTTGCAATACACAGAAGCATGAGTAGCATTTAGTGGACTTGTATAATTATGCGAAAATAAAGTTCTTATGAATAAAAAGTGATTTACAGTATATAGACAATCAGGAGTCCTGGGGGCTGCTTTGATATAAATCCTTAGCTGCGACAGTCCTTCAGTGCACTCTGTTAATTAACATGGTTTTGCAATCTAAAATGCAGTCCTAGCTTGTCTAAGAAATTTACGCTTTATAGGACAGACAGATTGAAAATTTTAATAATATGTATTTTGTTTGTGTGTTTTACATCGCCGCAAGAATATTTTGCACATGTTGGCCAGAACACTGCTAATGGAAGGCTGCAAATCTAGACTTTACCTAAGGCCATTTATCTGTGAGGGATTTTTTTGTGCCAGCACTGACTGTGACAGGGAGCCTCAGATTATATGGTGGCATTAACTAATGGGTAGCATAATATTAATATAATAAAACCCTGATTATATGATTTAGTGTATATTATTGTAATCTAGCTGTAAAATAAACTGTAGTCTTACAAAAAAGGGGAGATGATTTTTAATTCATTTGACCTAGAGACTGTGGTAGAGGTCCTGGCCCTTAACGTTCATAAACCCTTTGCTTCGTGCACTCATATAAAATGTTGCTTTAAGGTTTATGATTTTCCAAAAGAAATTATTTTATAAGTAAAATACAAACAATTATATCATTGCTTGCAAGACAAAATTAAACAAAAAAGACATTTCAACTTGACAAATCTATGAAGAAATAATAGACATTTATGTCATTAAGAGTTATCTCTCTTTTCAGAGTATCAATGAACCTTAAGAGAAATAACTCTAGAATCACCATGTTTTGTCCTCAGCAAATAATCTCATTCTCAGCCCTGTCTTTTGCTGAATTTCATTTCTATTTCATATTCTGTTAGAAAATACTCCTAATGTAATTGTCTCCTGGTGTAATTAGTTTGAATAGTCTCGTAGCCCTAACTCAGGCTGATGTCCTTGACCTTAAAATTCAGAATTCAGTAACTTGATAGTGAAACTTTACAGGTTAATTTGCCAGTAGCTTTAATTGTTTAAATCCACCTTGGTCTGTTGTCATGGTAACCGGTGAGTCATGTGATCAGAAGGAAGTCAGGCAGAGACTGAATTATTGAAGAGAGAGAAGAAAGGAACAGGGAAAAAAATCCCTAATAATAATAAAAATTGCGGAAGCGCTCGGAGTTCCAATGTATTCCCGATATTGCCTTATTAGTGATGCTTGGAATAATCAATACCCACTGATGTCTCGGGAGATTTAGTGGTGAACAGTATTACAATTTCTAATGGAGGTCCCAATCAATAGTCCCCAGCTCTCTTTGGAGAAGGGGGCCCAGGAAAAGGGGGCACCAGTTAATCAGGACTGAGGGAGGGTCGGTGAGGGGAAAAACAAATTTGGAAACTTTGCTCCCTGGGTTGTTTTATTTTGCTATTGATATCTATATTTTTAATAAAGAACTCTTTAAATTTAAATCACTATAAGTAGGATAATTTTGACTATATGACTTGATTATTATTAATATTAGGTGGTAATTAGCAGGTATACATTATTCATTTTTATAATTAATCGGGTCATGTTTCTTTTATTGTGAAAGACAGAATCTCAGAGACCAGGCAATTATACCTTGTGATTTAAAAGACACAGCAGCAAGAAAACTTAGAAATTGATTCAAAAGCAGAAAAATTTAAAGTGATTTTGCCCATGGGCAAGTACATGTTCAAAATTCACTTGCCCTACCTGAATTTTTACTTGCCCCACCATAAACTATGAAAAGTAGGAATACAAAAAAATGATGATTACAGTTGCCCATTTCCACTAAAAACTAAGACTTTTTATTTTTTTTCTTAAAAAAGTCACTTGCCCTTGGTCAAGTGGTTAGTAAAAATTCACTTCCTTATCCACAAAATTCACTAGTCCCGGGTGTCGGGCAGTGGAATTTGTCAGCCCCTGAGAACATTTTTTTTTTCAAAGTTAACTCGGAGAATTTTGTATCTCTGTTATAAAAGATCTAGTCATTTTAGATTCAAAATTAAGAAAGTAGCAGAGGCACATTCCCCAGGTCTAGCAATATGTTTGAAAGTTCCCTAACAAAGCAGTTCTGTTGATCTCTCAGTGAATTATATTGAAGATCTATAGATAATACATAAATTATATATATATATATATTCTGTAAATAGAACATATGCCATCTTTTTACATGTACAAACTGCCAAAGTCTGGATGAGAGACCCAACCATAACGATTGTCTGTATTATAAATTACTATGAGTTGGCCCTCGCTTCTGGTAGCGATCAATAATTCCTGTGTTTGTACAACAACAACCCCCCGTTTATTGACGACCCAGCGTAATTAAATCCTGGATTGTCTAATTTATGTGCATTTATGAAGCTTCAATGAGTCTCCGGATCAAAAAATGGATAAAAATGCATTCCAAGAAAAAAAATCAATATGCAAGGTTTTTGATTTGACAGACTAGGAGAGGCAGATTAGATCTTTTATCTTTGGATCCATAGATTGGGGGCTTTGGATAATTGCACGATTCCAATTAGACCGTTTCTAAATGAAAAAATGTTCGTTTATGAAATTGATGGATGACATAATTTACGAATATTACATTTTTTTATGATGATAAAATTATACTAATTTATTTGAACATGAGGAATCAGAGATTTAGTATCCTACATACATTATACAAGTCAGTTTATCAGTAGTGAGTTTTGATATGAATATTGTCATCATTCATACCCCTAATTAACAATTTTGATTACCTGGAATAATATCTGAAACTATAGTCAGGAATGCCATTTTAACACTATACATTTACCATGTTTACTATATTAACAAAATAAAATATATGAAAACATTTTATCAAATTCCAAAGATTTTGCATGGGTTTATATGTCATTGATAATATCACAAAAGTTTTGTTTGAAATTTTGTTAAGATGTTAACAAAAAAATTAGGGGGAGGGAGAAAGCCCTGGGGAGAAAGAGAGAAGGGGGTGAATTTTGCTGGGGAGCTACCAAAGAATGGGAAAATCTAAGAACTGACTATAATAATTCTCTGCTAAAAGCATCCTGACTGCAGTCCCATCCAGTAAATGAATGGCCTGCATAAGCAGCACGTAGAGGAAATACTCTGAAATAGACTATAATGTTTGGTCCAATAAAATGAGGGCTGAGTCTACTGCATGCCTGTGCTGGGTTTATTATGATTCTGATGTATTCCAATGCGATCCCTAGCACCTCATCATAATATCGTAATCACGATCCTTAATGAGGAAGGAAAATTCTGAATTAATTAAAAAGTTTCTGTGAACTTTTTTTTTCTCTCTCTTCTTTCTGATTTTTTTTTAAAGGAATATTTCTTTATTATTTTTTTTTAAGCCAACTGTTGATTTTTTTTGGGGGGGTGGAGGAAAGATTTCTATTGTGGGATATTATGAGAAATGATGATTATCTTTCTCTCAGTAAAGAAAAAGTGGAAGTATTAATTGAAATATTTTAAGATGTGCGTGTAATTTAATTTTTCTATTTTTTTTTACCCTGGCATTTTAGGTTAAATGGACTGTGAGTGACTTATACCTTGGAATTTTACATGTGATGAAGGACAGAATATAAAAGTTTAAGTGTGTTAAAGTCCACGCTTTTGGATGAACACAGTGAGGGACTGAGACAAAAAGCCTCGTGTGTGTGTGTGTGTGACTTAAGAATTCCGTAAAAGTGGCTCCCGTTGTAGACCGCCCTCCCGAGGATTCCCTCTGTTACCGTGGAGACAGTATGGACGGGGACTCGAACGATGAGGGGACGGTAACGGAGTCTCTGAACGGGGAGACGAAGCCCGACCCTGCCAAACTCGCCCAGACCGCAATCATTAAACAGGTAAGATATCACACAACTACGTCACTCGTTAATTAGGTCAGTTACGAATATTAATTAATTAATAATTCACACTTAAAGAAAAAATCTCCATTTCCTTTTGCGCTCACCAAAAAAAAAAAAAAAAATCCTCACTTTGAACTATATCTATAAGTGGCATATTTCCTTTTTGGCCAACATTTCTTTACTTGGTATAATTTTGAGCTAAGATCTGGTTACTGTGATCGGCTTGTACTGATGTCTGCCAAGCCCCCTTTAAACAGGTGAGATATTATTTATGTTATGTATGTACATTGTTTAGCATTTTCTAAACAGGTGTGCAGGTAAATGTATGTTAATAACATAGCTGGCTGTGTATTATCATCCAATTAACATCAATATATAAATGCACATACACACACACACACTCACACACCCTACTGGGGACATGGTCAAGATTACAAAGTGTTGGGTGAGGACAGGACTCACTCAAAGGACTTAATTTTTCCATTGGGAGAAATTTAGGACATTGTTATACCCTGGCTATTGGTGGTGTATAGTTATTCATGTATATATTAGATATTTATGTGGGCTATTTAAAATGAAAATGAAATGAAAATAATTATAGCTCAACCTAATGAGATGGAACATAATGTTCTGATAAATTTTGTACATGAAGTGGAGATGGGAATTCTCAATTACTTGTTACAAAATGGCTTCCTTTATTTGTGAATGGATTTATTTGACAGTGTGAGGATGGTAAACATCAGAATTTGTAATCAGCAAATTTTAATCAGGTAATTTCTTATGTAGTTCTTAAAGATTAAATTCCACAATTTTTTTTTTTTACAGTTAAAGTATTAAGAGAAAAGCGGTCTTATTCAAAAGACTTGCACTCGTTTTTTTTTTTCCAGTATCAAAGTATTCAAACGTTTAATTTCATAATTATTTTTCTGAGATTGAGAGATAGTTGATTGCTTTTAAAAGTTTGTTGGATCTAAAGTGTACTAGAACTGCATGTCCATATGTTCTGCATAAATCTTGTCTGCTTACATTCTTCAAAATATTGTCCTGTTGTCTATCATGTTAAATAAATGAATTTCTTTTTCAGATTTTATATTTCTTAAATTATAACCTAGAAAAATTTCATGGTACAATTCTTTCAAAAGTTTGGAAAATTGTTGCACAATTTGAACACTGAATATAGATCATGCATCCCCGTTGTTCTGGTAGGGGTAAGGGTTAGTTACTTAAATAAATAAATTCATTCACAGAACTTACAAACCTTAACTATTTCTCCCATCCTTTTTAAGCTAATAATTTAAAAGATTTTTTAATGCAAAAGAATTTTTTTTATTAATATTTTTTTAACTTGAAATACACCATTTCAATATATCCATATATAAAATGAACATGATCTTATCATTTTAGTATTTATTTGAGAGCGAGCGAGAGAGAGAATTGAGCATGAACAGGTGAGAGCAGGGTTCGACACTAACGTTAGTCCGTTAGTCTCAGACTAATACATTTTCATTCGGACTAATAAAATCTGTGGCTAATTAGTCTGAACGGACCAATAAAAATTCCTGGAAAACAACATGAATAATTTACCGATGTCCGATTCTCCACAACTTTGACTGGAAAACCCTGCATTTATTATTAGCTTTCGAGCTTTTTGGCGGGGAGTTAGACAATTTCGAGTCAGCGCTTAATTTTTTCGACTGATTGGTATGAAGTAAAACGTTTTAGTGATCATAATTAATATGACACATAAAAGAAAGATGTCAGACATTTTGGATGTAATGTAAAGAGAAAAAGAACTAGATCGGGAATACGATCTTACTCGTTGATCGCGAGATTTTAACGAATTTGTGCTATACGTGGAATATAAACCATTTCACATAAATGCTTTGTGTATTTTAAAAAAAGTATAAAAACATATATTGAAATGTTTATTTTTTAAATTAATGTTACAAAACATTGAAGATTTTTTTTTTTGATGGACTCATAAAATTGCATGCGGACTAGTAAAAGTAAAGAAGCACTAGTCCGGCCGGACTAAAGCCTAAAAAAATTAGTGTCGAACCCTGTGAGAGGGTAGTAGATTGAGTATGGCTAATTAGAAAATTGGGATACGTACATTACTGTCACTTATGTTTAGTTTGAAGTATAAAAGACCATTTTTTCCAGGAATAATATGTTAAACCCTTTGATTTTGTTGCATTTCTTGGCTGTATATTTCAATGACTTGTTAAGAATTTTGAAATCATTTAGGAAGTCATGGATAGAGAGACTGATAAAATTTTAACACTGAACTGTGTAAATATTTTGCTTGATGGACATCAGCAAAATATTGAAAAGTTTTGATGCTACTCTATGATTCTTATCTCCTAAAATGACCATTTTACAATCTAAGTTTAGTACAATGGCCTTTGAGCATGCTGAGTGACAGAATCTAACAAAATCACCGAGAAATAGCTGTACAGTTGGACATAGCCAAATTAAATGATATTCTGTTTCTTCCTCTGCTACACAGAATTTACCTAAATTGGCATCTAGTTTACCTACTTTATACCAATTTCAAACATACAAAATAAAATTGGTTTACAGTATGATATATATTTTTGTGCATATGAGACCTAGATATTTTAACATTTTTGTTAATTTCCTTTTATAGTAAAACACTGTTACAGCAAACCCATTCATAATGAATCCTTGCTTAATACAATGAAGTGAGTTTTCTTCCCTCTAGTTTTAAATAAATTCTGAACTTATCTGGTATATTAATTTAGGTTTATAACAAATCAGAATTTTTCATCCCTGGCATGTGTTTTAATGTAGATTGTAACATAAACATGATTAAATTCACCAGGCTTTGTTTTGTGTTGTATCTTTGTATGTGAATTTTATATTAGACAGTCAGGGGTGAGACTGAAATCCGTCATTTTTAAAATGACGATTTTAAGCCATAAAATAAAATTTTTATTATGACTTAAACTCGTCATTTTTAAGAAAATGACGAAAAACAGTCATAAAAATATAGAGTGTTTCTAGAATACTGAGTTACCTCTCTTTGAAAAATGTTAGATCCACCAACCGAAAAAAGGACAAAAAACATCATAAACGAACTTCATTTCTCTAATACAGTTGACTACAATACTGGTTATGTTGACAGTATAAATTTCCCATGCAAAAATAAGAGTGGAAGAGTTATTTGTCAATTTATTTGCATTAAATAGGAAAGAAGACGAAAATGACGATATTCCGTCTTTTTTCAAAATGGAGGGTCTGGGCGCACTGAAATATCTCGCTTGTTTTACAGGGCGCACTACTTTTTTATGGCTTTAACTTTTTGTCGAGACTTTTCTCTACAAGTACGTATTCTTCCAGACGGTGTACTATATGTTTTTATAGGGCTAAAAGCCATGTAAAAATGGCGAATTAGTTCTACCAAAATTCGACATTTTACCGCTAAATAATAACTTTCACCTCCCATGTTGATGTTCTAACGCACGTGGTCGGCAGTAATTAGTGACCCGGATGAAATGAAACTTGCGTAAACACCCTTCTTTCAGCGGTGAATTCAAATTTCGCTTTTATGTAACCAGGATAGAAGAATTAAGTTGAAAAAGAAAATATGACGATAGTAAGTCATATTGGCAAAAATGACGAAAATACGTACTTAGTAAATATGACGATTATCCATCATTTTTCAAAAATGACGGATTTCAGTCTCACCCCTGACTGTTAGAAGGCAAGAATTTTAAGTGACTAGAATGAAGGGGAAAAAAACAAAATGAAGTATTAACATACATGTATTCTTCATGAAATATATGTGCCAAGTGTAATAGCTCATATCCTAATGAATTAACACAATTTGCATTCATTTCTTACATAATTATTTAATTCTTATTGAAGGTATATTACAGGGTTGTGGTTAACTTTTGAAACCTTAGGGGCCATGTGGGCTCCTAACTTTTCAAATTTTACGGGCCCACAATGTGATCCACGGGCCAACATTATATGTAAATTAAAAATAAGAACACAAAAATCCTAATTTTTTTTTTCATAGTATCTATATGTTCGCAGAATATGGATTTTTGTCACATTTTCTCTTTTCTAAAAACTTTGATCTGATAATATGTTCATTACATTTTGTAGTATTTAACCTTAACTTGTACAACTGAAGTGTCTATGGTTTAACAAGGGGCATATTAAATAATAAATTACAACCTGTGATTAAGTTTGATCCCGATCTTTTATTGTGTGCATTTGACATGGTAATTCTGAATCAAATTCTATCTGTGAATAACTAGTTGAATGGCGAGTGTGACAACCATAGCCGATTGTTACAATATTTCTATTAGAACAATCTCAGACATTTGCTCTCGTATCATCAGCTTTAACGGAGATTTAACCGCTTCGATAAATTGCCATTTTTGATCTCAGTCATGTACATGTTTGAGTAATATGCTTGTACGCAGCACAAATAATCAAAGTTAGTAGAGCATTTTCTTAAAAACTGAAAGTACATAAAATAATGTGATTATGTTCCGGTAAAAAAATCGTTCGCCATGTGGGCGACCAGATTTTTAATATCTAGTCGCCCACCGCAAATTTTACTCGCATTTGCGAGTGGGCGAATGGTTATCCACAACCCTGTATTAATAAGAAAATTCCTATACTTTGAAAAATATTCAAGTGGACATTCACTTCTGTATCTAGACAAGAGGTTTATGATAGAGAATAATTTTCCAATAGCTTTTGAACACTAATAGTGAACAAAGTTTTTGTTCTCAATCATTAGCATATATACTTTGAGATCAGGGCTCTCACACCACTTTTTGGGACTGGGGCCGGGGCCATAAAAATTGGGAAAATTAGCGACCTTTTGGATAATTTGGGGAAAATCATAACTAGACATTATACATTAAATTCATAATATATTGAGTTTATGGTGGTTGTTATCAACTTAATTTCTGTTTTGTAATGCAGAGAAATATGAATTACAAGTTTAGTACCTATATATCTTTCTAAATGTTGTTTAATATTTGGGGAAGTGACAGACTGAGAAAATTAACACAATCAATTGGGAAAAAAGGTGTCTTTTTTGAATTGGGAATGGGGCCTTTGAACGGCCCCAAATATAGAGAATCGAGAGCCCTGGGAAAGTTTATGTTCAGCTCCTGACTGAATTGAATGTAGCCTTTAGATGATGGTAATTATATAAAGAAGCTGAGTGAGGCCAGCTTTTGATGTAAATATGTAAAGAAACTAAGTGGGCCAGCTTTAGTTGTAAATATGTAAAGAAGCTGACTACGGACAGCTTTAGATGTAAATATGTAAAGAAGCTGAGGAACGAAGGACAGCTTTAGATGTAAATATGTAAAGAAGCTGAGTGAGGACAGCTTTAGATGTAAATATGTAAAGAAACTAAGTGAGGCCAGCTTTAGTTGTAAATATGTAAAGAAGTGGAATACGGACAGCTTTAGATGTAAATATGTGAAGAAACTAAGTGAGGACAGCTTTAGATGTAAATAAATATGTAAAGAAGCTAAATGAGACAGCTTTAGCTGTAAATATGTAAAAAAGCTAAGTGAGGCCAGCTTTAGATGTAAATATGTAAAGAAGCTAAGTGAGGCCAGTTTTAGATGTAAATATGTAAAGAAGCTAAGTGAGGCCAGTTTTAGATGTAAATATGTAAAGAAGCTAAGTGAGGCCAGCTTTAGATGTAAATATGTAAAGAAGCTAAGTGAGGCCAGCTTTAGATGTAAATATGTAAAGAAGCTAAGTGAGGCCAGCTTTAGATGTAAATATGTAAAGAAGCTAAGTGAGGCCAGCTTTAGATGTAAATATGTAAAGAAGCTAAGTGAGGCCAGCTTTAGATGTAAATATGTAAAGAAGCTAAATGAGGACAGCTTTAGATGTAAATATGTAAAGAAGCTAAGTGAGGCCAGCTTTAGATGTAAATTTGTAAAGAAGCTAAGTGAGGACAGCTTTAGATGTAAATATGTAAAGAAGCTAAATGAGACAGCTTTAGATGTAAATATGTAAAGAAGCTAAGTGAGGCCAGCTTTAGATGTAAATATGTAAAGAAGCTAAATGAGACAGCTTTAGATGTAAATATGTAAAGAAGCTAAGTGAGGCCAGCTTTAAGTTTGATGTAAATATGTAATGAAGCTGACAAAAACTGTTTTAAAGCAATAATAAACTGCTGAATTTGAGAGAGAGACTTGGGAGGCAGGCAGCAGTTTTTGTGCCAATACAGCAGTTATTAAGTTGGAGAGAGAAAGAGGATAGAGAGAGAGAGAGAGAGAGATGGAGTATGGAGACAGAAATAGACTCCACAGTTGTTGTTTCCCAGCACTCAGCAGTAGCTGGAAATTCCAAGAGAGAAAGAACTTGGAGATATCGATTGTGGATCCCAGACATGAATTCCATCAGCATCTCTTATGAAAAATCAATACAATCAGTCTTGTAGACTGACATCATAGGACCATTGTACAGGGGGTATTTCCTTGTGTCTCTATACACACAACTACACACATACACACAAAGTGATGGAGTGTCTAACCTTCTGGAAAAGCTAATAATGACATTGTGAAGAATATATATATCATTCTGTGACACATTTGTTTGAATTATAGATGCATACTGTGTGTCATTCAGAGATTTTCTCTCACTGAAAAAATATATCCTGTAACAGTTAAATTTTATAAGAATTAATTGCTGTTTGGATCTGACTGAAATCTTATTTGTCATTGTAAACGGTTATTACCATTCTGGATCATTTTAATAGAATAATTCATGTTGCATATCCATACCAACCCAAATTTGTGAAGAGACCTAGCTTTGTTAAGGTTTTGTAAGAGGGCATGTTATAATAATCTCTTTTATTAGGTGACCTTTTTTATACCTCGGAGTCCTTAGAACATGGTTATCATGGTTATTGTTTACCATTGCACTAATGGCAGTCAGACTCAACCCCTGGTTAAAGTTATGGAATGTTGACCAATTATTGCTGACTTTGAGGTCAATATGATGATTTAGCCACCTGAGAAGTACAATATTCATTGAGCCCAGAGGTGGCTAATTCATCATATTCACGAAAAACAGCAATGATATTATTTTATTATATGATTCAATGATTAAATGATACAAACTTACCAGGCAATCCATGCCGACTTAAAGTTACTTAAAGTTTATATTTATTGAAGTACTAGCGTAACATAATATGAGAAAAAAGGTCAAAATAAACATAACCAGTTGTACTAATTTGGAATTTTTAATTGTATTTTAGAAAAAATAAATGTCATGCATGTATATAGGATTGATTTTGAAAAAAAAAACCTGGTTTGGGTCAGTTTACGCTGTTTTATAATCCGCTTTGCGGATTATAGAACTTAAACTGACCCAAACCAGGTTATACTCGAATAATTTGGCCAAGAATTGGAGTCATTCCTAAATTAACTGATCTTCATAAATATTAAATCTAGACACCTGCAATCCTTATAGATAGATTCCTTTGAGCTTTAAGCAATGGACAAAATTTTGAGTTCTAGACAAAGAATTTTTTTTAATTTCTACATGGTCACATAAGAAGAAAAACAAAGCTATGTGAACCTTTATAGATTCCATTGAGTATTGGACTGACCAATCATTAGACCTTGGTTGAATTAGGAGATCTCACCTATCAAAGACAACTGTATTTATTGACAAGACATACTCAGTCTAATTGTATGTGGTCTCTGGGACCTTAATGTAACTACTTAGATAATGTACAACTGTATTTTTTGACAAGACATACTCAGTCTAATTGTATGTGGTCTCTGGGACCTTAATGTTACTACTTAGAGAACATACAGCTGTAGCAGCAGCACATTTCTCTTCTCCATTAGGGAGCCCTGCATACATTAATCAATCTAACTAGACAATCTCAGTATTGGATTCTAGTCTTTTGAGAAAATTAAAGCACAAGGATGTAAATCGGAATGTTGTCTGAAAAATCAATAGTCACAGAGAAATCTTTTTTTTCCCTGTTTGATAGAAGCATTTAAACCATAATGTATAAAGAAGGAGAGATTCATTTGTAATGTCATTTATAACAAGGGAACACTGAAAATGAACGAGAATTCTGGACAAATAATGATAACGTAATGAATGTCCACTCTTTGTTTATTACAGGATGTTATGCTCTCGGCGACCAGCACTCAGTCTCCATTGGCAACCGTATCCAGCGTGTTCACCATGCCCAATATCTCCATGCCAACAGTCTCCCTGGCTAACAGTGGGGGCCTCGGGGGGCTGACGGACCACTTGTTTATGTCTCATATACCAGCAGACCCTCCAAATGCCCATAGTAACTCTGTCACGGACAGTCATACAGACAAAACCGGTATGTTTACAAACAGACAGTCACACAGACAAAAGCAGTATATTTACAGACAAACAGTCATACAGACAAAACCGGTATGTTTACAAACAGACAGTCACACAGACAAAAGCAGTATATTTACAGACAAACAGTCATACAGACAAAACCGGTATGTTTACAAACAAGTATACAGACATTTTGTATACAAAAACACCCTAACCAAGAAATTGGTATTTTTATCATGTTTCGATGGAATGGTTTGGGCCATTGATATAGGCCTGGGTAGCTCAGTTGGTAGAGCACCTGACTAGTGATGCAGGGGTCCCACGTTCGATCCCCGGCCCAGCTATACATTTCTCCTTCCCTGATAAAGATGTGGTGCTTTTGACCACCCCTGGACATGCAGGTTAAAGTCTTTCCAGGGACTAATAAGAACTTCAGTTGTGTCTTCAAGGGCAAAGACAATTTAAGGAGGGAGGAATGTAATAGTCAGTAGAGCACCTGACTAGTGATGCCCGGGTCCCGGGTTTGATTCCCGTTCCAGCCATACATTTTCTCCTTCCTGTTACACAGATATCTCCTCTAACAAATAGTGAAACAGACAAAACTTTTGTGCTAATAAAAGGGTTGACAGAGAGCATCTTAAGCAAAACTTACATAATTATTCAGACACACATTCACTAACAATACCCAGATTTATAATGCACCTTCAGACAAACCTAATAATCTTGGATATCTTTGCAGGACTGCAAATGTATCTGAGAATGGGAAAAACTATAGATTATAATTTTAGACCAAACATTTGCTCTGATGTTATACCAGGCTAATGAGATACCAAAAATCATCTTCATTTCAATTTGAAAACATTAAGATATCTATATAATCTACTGACCTTGACTATTAATGTCCCCTTTTATCTTTCTAAGGTCAACAGTCACTTTAACATGTCAAGTACTGAAAATTCAGGGCTGATAAACAGATTCTCTTTATCTTACAACATTTATAAATAATAAACTGTCTAGTAATATTATTATTTTGAAAACATTGGTTGAGGATATGCAATGCCAACAATAATACCAATTATTCCCCTTTAGGCAAGAAAACTCTGGAATCTTAACAAAACAAAAGATGACTATTGAGGAAACTAGACCAAAAAACAAACAAACAAAAATCAACCATGTATAGACCTAAAGTATATGTAGAAAAATCATTAATTCAAAATATCATCACAAAACATCTCAAAACTGTTACCTAGAATATAAAGATATTGAAATGTATATACTAGGGCTGTCACGAGTACCCGAAATAACCGAGAACCACGGTCCAAGTTGTTCGGTTCGGTTCCGGTTCCTTTTTTCCGGATTTCGGTTCGGGTCTGGTTTATATATTAGAGCTTGTTCAATACAAAAAATGGCATCGTAATCAAAGGAATGTTGACGATAACAGTGATAAATAAACATCACAACTGAAATCTACTTCATTCCATGACAAAACATTTGTCAAGGAAGTATTAGATAATTATCAAAACGAGCAGGAATGGTCAGGTTGTGGCTAACAGTAGGCCAAGTCACCGATGTCTAGACGTTCGCATGGTTAAGACTTGTTTCCAATGTAAATTTATTGTAACAAATAAAGATTTTTCAAGTTAAATTCATGAAATTAAGGTTTAAAATAGATGTAAATACCCGACCCGAAAAACCCGAAACCAAACCGAAAATTTACAGAACCGACCCGACCCGAAAAATTTTGGAACCGTGACAGCCCTAGTATATACAATTTCATTATTTCCAGGTTTAGGGTCATTAGCCAGCCCTTCACAGTTGTTTGGACAACCCCAGGTGGCAGCACCACAGTTCTTCCTCACAGGTCAGGGGTCATAGTGAGGTTTTGACCTCTTCTTCTTAAATGATAAGGATGAAATTTTCTTTTCCTCCATTGTTTTATTTTTTTATGTATTGAACTATTTCCTGTATTTTTAAAGCAGTTTTATGCTAAGATGTGTTCATATACTGTTTTAATCTCTTGTATATTCTGGAGAATTTTAAAACTTTTTATAAATTTTTTTTTTGAAATTCACATGAGAGACACAATATGTATATTATCTGAAATTATAATCAGTACATGAAGTTAACATGGACAGTGAATTCTGTGACAGGTAATGGAGCCCAGCAGTTCATCAGTATTCCTGTTTCCTTGGGAACGGGTGGAAATCACCAGATACAGTTACTGACCACTTCTAATGGTCAAATCATAGCAACCAACCTCGGAGGAATCCCAGGACTGACTCAACCACTCAACTTAAACCTCAACTCTGGTAAACTCTTAACTCAACTTAAACCTCAACTCTGGTAAACCCTTAACTGAAGTTAAACCTCAGCTCTGGTAAACTCTTAAAATCAACTTAAACACCAGCTCTGGTAAACTCTGTACTCAACTAAAACCTCAACTCTGGTGAATTCTGTACTCAACTCAACTCTGGTAAATACTTAAGTCAACTATTCAACTTAAACCTCATCTCTGGTAAACACTTAACTCAACTACTCAAACTAAACCTCAATTCTGGTAAACTTAGCCACTCAACTTAAACCTTGACTCTGATTATTTCTTAAATTTGAACTCAACAACATAATTTAAACCTCAACTCTGGTCAACTCTCTTTCTACAACTTCTCATTTAAACCCCAACACTGGTAAACTCTAAACTCAACAACTCAACTTAAACCTCAACTCTTGTAAGCTTTGAATTTAACTACTCAGATAAAACCTAAACTCTTCTCTCTCTATCTTTTGCTAAACTTCTAAACTTTGAAATTTTTTAGCCTGAAAGTATACTAAATCGCTAAACACCTGTAACGACCTTGACCTCTTACCTGGAAATAATTTCAATTTCAGCTTTTGTAGTAAATGTTGAAACCAAAAGTCAGATTAAAATTTTCTGGTATCTCATCTCTGTTCTACAATCGGGCTGTCTTTGTTGTGATAATTCTATGATTAGAGCTTTTACTATTACAGAAATTCCATATTTATCCCAGATTTTTATTTGAAAATATGGATTGGCCTCCAGAAATTATGCTTCTTAGTTATGCTTCGCATTAATACTCTCGGAACGATAGGTATTCACTCAAAGACCTCAATTACACTGATTTATCATTGTCATTTATGTATGATTCATTCTGACAAAAAAGAAATAAATGAAGCAATAAAAAATCAATATTATCTAAAAGTTACCAAATGCATGTATACATATTAATTTAAACATGCTGTAAGTATCAGTACTTTCAGACCTTTGATTTTCTTTCCAGGATCAAACCAAGCACAGAGTAGCAGTTCCAGCAGTAGCACCTCCAATCTAGGTTTAACTAACCTTCCCCAACTGCTGACGGCCGCTGGGGCCCAGGGCCAAATTCTAGCTGTAGGCCCTCAGGTAAGACCCCATTAACTAACGGGGCCAAATCCTGTCCTCAGGCTCCTTGGGTAAAAACCTGTTAACTGGCAGAGCCAAATCCTGGCTGTACGCTGTCTTATAAGGTCCTGTTAACTGTAACAGCCAATTCGTTGATGCAGATTATCAGGTAAAATCCCATTAACTAACTTCCTTGAAATACTCTTACATCCACTCTGCTTACAATTACCGTATAACAGTGATGATTCTGTTCCGATATTTAGCGGAATTCCGCAAATTTGAATCCAAGAATCCGATATTTACGAGTGTTTTCCGATATTTCGGTACTTTCATTTTTTGCAGATATCCATTTCAGTATCTATCTGGGTAAAAAATTCAAGTTATTTAGTCAGTATTTTGATCTAGTCTGCATCACCCAGACGTTTGCTTCTATGTCCAAGTAAGGTAACCTAAATGTAGCGATGAGTCAGACTTCCTTACAATGGCGTGGCAGTTCATTCAGGCAGGTCTGGATGTAAAAGTTTGAACAAACTGTCACACTTCAATTTTTGTCACTCATTTAAACCTTTTTCTGGGCTTTTCTAAAGCCCATATTTCATCAGCTTTTCCACTCCAACCTATTTCAGATATTTTGGCCAATTCACAGAATCATCACTGGTATAAGCAGAAATTTTAGTGGGGATTCAATTTTGGCATTTTTAGAGAGGGTGTGGAGATCACTAAAATTAAATATCGCTAACAATTCATTCTCACATTAAAGGTTACTAATTATAATCTTTCAATCCATCACAAAATCATTAAAATTACTTCTCGCTAAAATTAAATACCAATATTTTAGGAGATGTCCCTAAATTTGCGTCTCGGTAAAAATTCCACTTACAGGGTATCTGCAGTTAGATACATTTAGTTGCTGACTTTCAAAAGCAAAATAATCCTGTTTTAAGGGAGCTGACTGGAGTTTACATTGTGCAATACTTTACATAATGAAGAGATGTTCCCTAAAAATAACAAGAGTTTCAGATTTTCCTGATACTTTGCAGTAACTCTGAAGTCAGTGCCCGCTACACATGGTATAAAAGTTTTGAGTTTCTCTATTGTAGTTTTTACAGAAAATAACCCTCGTCAGCTCCCGTAAGCTGTAAGTTTGTGAAGTGTTTCCCAGAATTCATGTTTTCTTTCCACAGGTACTGAACCAGCTGTCCCTTACCCATAATTCCACCTCCAGCTCTTCCTCCCAGAATTCCCAGTCACTGACCAATGGTCATCTCACTCAGTCCACCAGCCAGTCAACAGCTGCTCAGTCAGCCGTGCAGTCCGCCGTCCAATCAGCAATCCGTAATGCTCAGTCAGCCAAAATCTCAAACCAGTCATCTGTAACGTCACTCTCCGACGGACTTCCTCCTAGTGTTAGTCAACTACTGCCGAGTATGTTTCTCTCTTTCTCTCTCTCTCTTTCTCTGTTGCTCTTTTTCTCTCTCTCTCTTTCTCTGTTGTTCTCTCTCTCTCTCTCTTGCCCTTTCTTTCTTGGAGAATATTTTTATTTACAGCTATGATTAAATGAACTATAATTAATGCAAAGATACTTAATAAAGTAGTAACCTTAAAAAATTCAAGCACTCCTTTGGACTAGTTTTAAATTAATTCATTTAGCATTATTTTATGATTGTAAGCACACATGTATAAGCCTGTATGGATGAATGGGCCGAAGGACATTTACAGTATTGAAATACATTGACGTGTAATTGTTATTTTTAGACACAGTAGGAAACTCCACAGAGAGCACGACGGTGGATGGAATTAATCTGGATGAAATTAAAGAATTTGCCAAACAGTTTAAGATTCGTCGCTTATCTTTAGGACTGACACAAACTCAAGTGGGACAAGCCCTCAGTGCAACCGAGGGACCGGCGTATAGCCAGTCTGCTATCTGTAGGTAGGTAGTCATAATTCCTTACAGAGAGACCTGTCTATGTAGTCAGTCTGGTATCTGTAGGTAGGTTGTCATAAGGCCTTACAGAGAGACCTGTCTATATAGCCAGTCTGCTATCTGTAGGTAGGTTGTCATAAGGCTTTACAGAGAGACCTGTCTATATAGCCAGTCTGCTATCTGTAGGTAGATTGTTATTAGGTCTTACAGGGAGACCTGTCTATATAGCCAGTCTGCTATCTGTAGGTAGGTTGTCACAGACGGACACGTACATGTATATCGTCAATCTGGTATCTGCAGATAGGCTGTCATAAGGTCTTACACAAGCACAAGTGTTACAAGTATGCCTTTTGTGCCACAAACTAACCTGCCAGTGTGCGGTTAGTTACCTGAAGGTCTTAGTTAGGTCTTACCCAGATATAATGACTATTTTTGGCATGTGGTATTTTCACCCTATACCACTTGCAAATGATTTTGCCCCATTTTAAATTTGCCCAGACAAAGTTTATGTAAAAGGTATCTTTTGACTTATATAAATGTGCTCACTTGCTACGAGGAGGAAAAGGGAGGAAAATAAAACAAGGGTGAAAATTTCTATGTGTACAGTAGGTCAATCCATCTGTAGCCAATCAACAATCAGAAGTTAGGTTGTCATGACACGAGAGGGTCACAAACTGACCCACCAATAGGCAGTAAGTTACCCAAGGTCACTGTTGAACCCAGACATAATTAGGTCAATTCTTCTATGCAGTAGATCCAGATCTACCAGTGATGGGTGGGTAATCTGTAGGAAGTTTATATGGTGAGGGGTTGTACAGACACAATTATGAAGTGAAATAGAGACTTGTCCATACCTATAGCTAGTCAGATATCAGAGAGAGAGAGGTAGCTAGTCAGATATCACAGAGAGGTAGCTAGTCAGATATCACAGAGAGAGGTAGCTAGTCAGTTATCACAAAGAGGTAGCTTGACAGATATCACAGAGAGGTAGCTAGTCAGATATCAGAGAGAGAGGTAGCTAGTCAGATATCAGAGAGAGAGATAGCTAGTCAGATATCACAGAGAGGTACATGTATATATAACTGTTATGACTGACCCAGATGTAACTGAAATAGAGACCTGTCCATTCATGTAGTTACAGTAGTCAGATATCAGAGAGAGGTACTTGTATATAACTGTACTGACCCAGGTGTAAGTTTTATAGACCTGTCCATACATGTCGTTACGATAGTCAGATATCAAAGAAGGTACTTGTTTATAACTGTACTGACCCAGGTGTAAGTTTTATAGAGACCTGTCCATACATGTCGTTACAGTAGTCAGACATCAAAGAAATGTACTTGCATATAACTGTACTGACCCAAGTATAAGTGGATCAAAGCATCAACAAAGTGGAGTGATCCTTTTATAGACAGTCACTTATTAAAGGAAGTATAGTAAAACCTGTCTTATCTGATGTACACTGGGACACAAATTCCCTGACAGAATAAAAAAGGGTGTCAGTTGTACAGTGTAAGGGACATGGTAAATAGAAAAGTGGGAATGAATATGAGGGTTATGATTCATAGTGAGAAGGATTATACAGGTGTCAGATTAGACAGGTTTTACTGTATATTGTTAAGTCCATGGGTTCAAACCTTCCATGTAAATGTAAATGAGAGATGACCCCCCCACCCCCCCCACCCCCCCAACACCCCCACCACCACCACCAACAACCAAATCAGAGTTCTAAAAATATGGATTTTAACTTGAAATCATATTAGGTTTATGGAAATCCTTTATTATAGTAAACTTTTAGAATTCCAACCCTTTAAATATGCTTAATATGAAACATATGCATGTAATGCCTGCTATATATGTATACTGTCTAAAGAAAATCAAATGTTAAATCTGAAAAGTTTTAAAAATTGAAATCATTCTTGTATTTCTGGCTTTGTCTAATCAAAATGCTCTTTACCTGAGTTCAAACTTAACATAATGAATAAATCTGTATGAACTCCTAAAAATCACACAATTTTCTTTCAGTTGAAACTTGAAGTTAATCATCTCTCCAAAGAGTTCATTATCACCATTTGTGTTAAATCTATTTACATGTATGTACATTTAGATTAAACCATTTCTAGAGCACTGAATGTTATCACTGTTAAAAAGTATACATGATCTTACTTTTATAGATTTGAAAAGTTGGACATTACCCCTAAGAGTGCTCAGAAGATTAAACCTGTGTTGGAGCGCTGGATGCAGGAGGCAGAAGAAAGGTACAAGAACGGCATTCAGAATCTCACGGATTTCATCGGCAGCGAACCCTCCAAAAAACGCAAACGTCGCACGTCATTCACACCCCAAGCTCTGGAGGTTCTTAATAATTTCTTTGAAAGGAATACACATCCTTCAGGTATGTTTGGATTCAAATCTGAAACTGTTTGATGTGTATTTAGAAGGGGTCTGCTTAATGTTAAACATCTGAGCTGTGATAATAAAAGCTAGCCTAGCTGCTAGGCTAAATATCTAGGTCTATTGAATGTGTGGATTAACGCTTGTTATCCCTACATAGCAGCGCCGCCAGGCTAGCATTTCATTCAAGATGGAAACTCTAGAAAGAGCTACATCTACAAATCCACTACCATCATCAACACATCTTGTTTTGGCATTGAAATATCAACAATCTTATTTTTCTTTATTTCATTAGATAAAGCAGTCTTAACATTGAGGATCTTTCAGTGTTTTTGTGTGTGTGTTTTCTTTATTTTATTAGATAAAGCAGTCTTAACATTGAGGATCTTTCAGTGTTTTTGTGTGTGTATTTTCTTTATTGTATTAGATAATGCAGTCTTAACATTGAGGATCTTTCAGTGTTTTTGTGTGTGTGTTTTCTTTATTTTATCAGATAATGCAGTCTAAACATTGAGGATTTTGCAGTGTTTTTTGTGTGTGTGTTTTCTTCATTTTATTAGATAAAGCAGTCTTAACATTGAGGATCTTTCAGTGTTTTTGTGTGTGTGTTTTCTTTATTTTATCAGATAATGCAGTCTAAACATTGAGGATTTTGCAGTGTTTTTTGTGTGTGTGTTTTCTTTATTTTATCAGATAATACAGTCTTAACATTGAGGATTTTTCAGTGTTTTTTTTGTGTGTGTTTTCTCTATTTTATCAGATAATGCAGTCTAAACATTGAGGATTTTTCAGTGTTTTTGTGTGTGTGTTTTCTCTATTTTATCAGATAATGCAGTCTGAACATTGAGGATTTTTCAGTGTTTTTGTGTGTGTGTTTTCTCTATTTTACAGTCCCTGAAACGTTCTACTTTCCCACTTGAACGGTGAGCGAACGCTGAACGAACGCAGAGCGAACGGTGAGCGAACGCAGAGCGAACGGTGAGTGAACGATGTGTGAACGCTGAACGCAACTTGGTGAACGGTAGGTGAACACTGAACGGTGAGCGAACGCAGAACGCGAACGGAGCGCGAACGCGAGCGCAAAGTGAACGGTGAACGAACGGTGAACGCAAGATGAACGATTTATTCGGAATGCCTCTGATCTTTTCCATGCATTGTATCTATTCTATTGTATTCTAATGTCAGGCGGAAAATAAATAAATATTCAAAAATTGTCCTGAGAAAGATGAAACATGCACATTTAGTAAAACTATTAATTAAGTTTCTTACAATATTTTCTGTACATATGTATGATGTTTAAATTCCGCTCTTTAATCACACGATTTTTATCGCTGTAAAACATGTCATTGTTACCGAATGCTGTAGTTTAAAAAATAAAATCATTCTAGTTGTAAAATAAATATGTTTATTCTCATTTGATATATAAAACCATTACAAATAATGATTTTCGAAGAGTACATTACTGACTTATAGAACGAATAACAACGGTTGTAACAACCATACATGTATTTCCGTGTCAAGGCATTTCCGTGTGAAATAATGAGAAAAAAAATAAAAAAATATTTTGCTAGTCTGTGGACGTATTGCATGTATACCCTCATATTTAGAAAAAATTAATGCAATAATATATTTATGTGTCTTTTCATTTTTTTAATGATGATTTATTCAGCAGACTTCTACATGTATCTATAAACAATTCCACGTGATTATACTCGGACAAGGTGATACAAAGAAGCATTCATATTATTTGTTATAGATTAAAATTTCAGAACTTGGTATTTAAGTAATACGTGTTATAGTTTTGATTAAACGGACAAATGAGAGAGAGAGAGAGAGAGAAATTATGTATTAGCCCCCCTTTTCACAAATGCATGTACATGTACATGTACCTGTATAAATGAAAACTCTTAATTTTTATCTAAATATCTCAGGCAGTGAAAGTAACCTTTTTTTATTTATCAACAAATTCACTTTGTTTGACAGTCATAATCGGTTTTTATTTTTCTGCTTCAAGTTCACACGAAGTCCACGTGCTTGTCCTGTCAATCAAAATCATTCGACACTGTGCAGCCAGGTGTGAAAGTTTCGTCACACCAAAGGCGAGGTGCTACACTGTAGTATTTCCAAGAAGTTTTACATGTTTTATCATTTCTAGATCTGATTCCAATTTTTCCAATAAATAAATAATTAAAATACATTTGGCATAAACACTTCGAACGAATTTGAAACATACTCCCTTTAAAATACCACCGTCAGCGCGTGTATATTTTGAACTACTATTGTTTAATGACTTTTTTAGATGCATGTTTGTTCTGAGACTGAAATTTTTGTGCTACAAAACGCGTTAACTTCTTTTTAAATATTAATTTAGAATATACTGGAAATACTGACTAAGTGATCGATCTACGTGGAAAAGGGGGGGGGGGGCTTAATCATATTGAATGGCAAACATATAAAGTTATTGTGAAGAAAGGAATTTTTTCTCTCTAACAGTAGAATTTATATATGAATTGTAGTATATTACATTAAATAAATATTTTTTTAACCACACTATTAATTTAATTCGTTCCAAAGATATTTAATTAACTGGATATCCGCAGTACTATTTATAATTCTCGGAACTAGTTCTAATAAATAAATGTATTTCTATAATAATTGAAAGAAAAAAAAACGTGTTAGTAATAAATACTTTCTAATTTTCCTGCAGTTGCTAAATTAAATGACATGGATTATTATCTCTCCATTAACGACTTGTCGTCTTTAACATAACAGTAAAATGTTGCAGTGCTTGAAGTACCCCTATATTGCCCGTATTTAAATTTAATTTTTCAGCATCGTTCTACATAGGTACATACTTATAACAACATTTATTTTCCAGAGTAATTTAAATAATAACCAAACAGCTAAGTTAGAATAATAATAATAATAAATCATATTGTAGATAATTTATTCCAATAAAATAATGATCCTTTAAAAACGATATGTGAATTATTAAATTTGAAATCCCGTAAATCCTTACTTCCAAAAAAGATAAGTCCTTTCACTTCGGAGTTCCGAATGACACTGAAGACTGAACGATAAGTGAACGCTGAACGCAAGGTGAACGCAAAGTGAACGAACGGAGAGCGAACGGTGAACGCTTTGTGAACGGTGAACGCGAGCGCACGGGGAACGCAGAACGCAAGACTGTGAACGGAGAGCGAACGGTGAACGCACGGTGAGCGAACGGTGAACGCACGCTGAACGAACGGTGAACGAACGGTGAGCGAACGGAAAAATGGGAAAGTAGAACGTTTCAGGGACTGTATCAGATAATGCAGTCTAAACATTGAGGATTTTTCAGTGTTTTTGTGTGTATGTTTTCTCTATTTTATCAGATAATGCAGTCTGAACATTGAGGATTTTTCAGTGTTTTTTTTGTGTGTGTTTTCTCTATTTTATCAGATAATGCAGTCTGAACCATTGAGGATTTTTCAGTGTTTTTGTGTGTGTGTTTACAGGTGCTGAGATGACAGAATTGTCAGACAAACTGAACTACGACAGAGAAGTGATACGGGTGTGGTTCTGTAACAAACGACAGGCGTTAAAAAACACCATCAAAAAACTCAAACAAGAGACACCATAGGACAGAGCGTAAAATTAGATATAAATCCTAATTAAAGCTAAATCAAGGCAAAGTATAAGAATAATACACCAGTATAGAAAATGAGAATTCCACAAAGGGAGAAAGTTTTGAAGGAAGGGCTACGTTCTCTGGCAGCAGAAACTTTGTATTTCTTGGAAAGTTGTTTAAATGGGAATCACAGGATGGCACAATTAAATCATGAATGTAAAAGGTAGGAAAATCATAAGGGAGTTTGTTGTGAGCTTTTTTCACAGTTTAAGGTTTTAGTGGTGTTTTTTTTTTATATAAATGGGGACTTAAAAGACAAAATACTTCAAGTGTAAAGAAGTTATCATCATTCGTTGGAGAAATGTTGTCATAATTAAATTTTTTGAATGAGAAAATTTGTTTTTTTAAAAGAGATCATGGAAATGTTCTTATAATTTACAGTGTGTATAGCATTAAATGCTTTTGACACGTGTTGTGCAATATTATACAAGACATTTATTTATTAATATATACATATTTATTCTGTATGATTTTATTGATATTTTTTAAGACTTTTTAGTTTATTGATATATGTTTTTGTATATACATTGTATATTCATCCACATTTTAAGGTTGATCGTTGAACAACAAAGTTAGATAACTCTCTCCTATGAAAAACTCATTTTTGGGGCATGAGAATAAATATTACCATCTTTTTTGTGCAATATTGGTAGCCATAATTATCTTGCCATTGAAAGAGAGTGAGTTATCTACTTTTGTGTGAAGACGGAGTCACCTTAATCAGCATTAACATGACTGTCCTAGTCCAGAATACTGGGTTGTCTTTACCATTTGTCTACTGAAGACAAAGAATTGTGTATATATACATGTAAATGTGTAAGTATTTTAACTTGACTACAATTCTCTACTTCTTTTACTTATTAATTGATGTTCATAACCAATATTACTTACAATATTACGCATTATGGTCATGTGACTGGTTTGTGTGACTTTATGAGGTATGAATATTAAGGGTGTTTGTCTGCAACAGTATCCTTTGGTCTCTGTCTACCCCCACAGTAGTAGTGATAGTAACTACCGTAAATACTAAACGATTGGTGTTAAAAGAGGGGCGGTGTACATAATCTTTTATATTCATACGATACTGAAAATAATTCAACCGAAAAAAAAAATGAGAATTCAGAAACAGTTGAACTTTAGCACCTCGAACATTTACATCTTGAAATACCAGGGTTGAACTGAAGTGGAAGTCTCCACTGATTTTTTTTTCCATGTATTTTAACCGAGATATTGAGAATCCTCAAGAACTTTTTCCTCTGTTCCATCAAGTTTGAGGTAATGATGTTTGACAGCAGTGATTTACTGAGGTACACTTTAAACTTCTGAAAATGGCTAATGCATGTAAAATTTCCTCCTTTAACTTTATTCTGATAGATGATACATTTTGTAAATGTATTCTGATGATCAGATCAGGGAGTTGGGAGACTTGATCATCACTATCTCTTTTTACCCTGGTTCAAGTTTATAGAGAAGAACCATTCTCTTTTACCAATTACTGTAGAAAGTCATCCATTTATATCAATTATGAACAAAAAAAAATTGTGGTGAAGACAAAATAACTTTTTCATTTTAAAAAATTTATTGAAAGAAGCAGAAATTCACTTTCGCTAAAGAAACTACTTATAAATGTGATGTCAGAGAAGTCTCACTGTTTACATTCTAAAGCACTTGGGGAGGAATCACCCTGCTTTTGCAAAGAGAGATAACTCTGGATATATCAATATGTTTCCTTCTTTAACACTGGTTGTATTTACTCTTATGATAATGTTGTGGTGGACAGACAGCTTCGATGGCCAGTGGTTATAGATAGCTCAGTTATTAGAGCACCTGACTGGAGATTCAGGGGGCCCTGGGTTCGAATCCTAATCTGGTCCATTACATTTTTCTCCTCTCCTGTAACAATGTGAAATCACCAATTTTTTTTTTTGGGGGGGGGGGGGGTTATTTTTGTTGTTTTCATCAAATGAAAAGACCCAGGAATTCATGTCCTCCACAGAATGTAAAAATAATATAACATCACTCCTTTACCCACAAAATCAAATCTATTTTAACCAATATTTTTTTTTCCCCCAAAGCACAAAAAAAAAAAACCCACAAAACTGAGCAATTATACAGTATCCTAAATTTGCTTTAATTTTATTTCGATCTTTGTAAGAAATCATCATCATAACGGGGCAAAAAATCAATATCCTTTGAGACATTCACTTTTGAATGTGTAAGTACTGTTCAGAAAAATTCCCTTTGTGTTCAGTGAAATGTGAGTATAGTTGTGGATGCTCTCTAGGTTATTGTCATGTTTTAGTTAATTTTTTATAGTTTTGATGCGCAATGTTAACATTTATAGAGATATCATGGATATTCATGAGTTGATTTATATCTGAATATTCATGAAATGTTGACAAAGAATCATTTATTTATTACATGTATGTTAAGGTATATGTTTTTCATGTCCCACAAGGTTATTGTTTTTATTTAGTACTGTGTACTCTCATAAGGTCTTTATAGATTTATTTAGGGGTAGGGGGATTTACAAAGTTTTTTTCAGAGAGTGATTTTAATTAATATTTGTTTTATATTCCATCCTCTAATTTCTTCATGTTTTGTTCTGTTGAAGACATACTTACTTAATTGGAAATTTTAATACACGAGTTCAGTGTGATTTTTACATTAAAAAGATAATTCTTTAATTTTATAATTTACTTTAATAGCCTTGATCTGTTGTGGTTATACAGACAATGTTCCTATTTCATTGAATCATGACTTTTTGATAATTACCAGTCAATATTTTAGTATCTGAGGAAAAAATTGTTTGTTTTTATAAGCTTTCAAAGTTTTACCCTTGTCGAGGTCCTGCATCAAGAAGTAAATGTCCTTCAGTAATCACCAAGTCTGTTTGTCTGTCTGTCTTAGTGCCATAACTTGAGTTCCTTTCCACCTACAGACTTCTTTTCTACTGCAATAAGAGAAAGACACCTACAGTTTTGGGGGTCACTGGGTCAAAGGTCAAAAGTCAAACTATTTGTTCAAAAATTACACATTTATGTGATACGTGTACCGTAATTTGTGTATTTGTTACATGTAAACTAAAGACTTTTTATTAACTACATTTGTGGAGATTTTTTATAGAAGGACATTTCAAGGGTCACTTGGTCAAAGGTCAAGGTCAAAGTTTGAGAATATCAGTTTGAAATTTGTAATGCATTAATTAACTGGGCATTTTGTAATCTGTGTATTTTGTATACATGTAGTAGTTATAAAAGAAAATGCCTAAAGAAAGGTAATTAGTTTTCTTTCACAGGTCCATACAGTTTAAAACTGAAGATTTAGATTACATATTCACAACACAATTAAAAGACCCCTATAGATTCTTCTGTAGTTGACAGTTCAAAGGTCAAGGTTAAAGGTCACTAATGACCATTGATTTATGTATACTGTTCTGTCCTGTATGTCTTTTTCAGTTTTTTAGTTGAAAATTTCATTTCAATCAATTTTTGCTTTGTCATTGTCAATTTTTATTTGATGGCAGCTAACTACAAAAGGGTCATTGACTTTTATGTACTCATTTGACATTTGTGTACTTGTTTGATTTTTTGTTAATATGTGTTCAGTAAATATGAATATTACAAAAACCAAGCAAGAAACTGGAACCTAACGTAGTTAAGTCTTATTTTAGAGAAATGATTCCAATTTTTATATAGGTTGTAAATCGTTTGTTGTGAAATGTTACCTGAGGATTCTATCTTCAGTGATTGTCATTTACTAAATTGTAGCATGTATGTAAGAACGTAATTTTAACACATTAATTAAAAAATTAATTCATATACAGTTGAACTTCAGTATCTCAAACATGGATATCTCGAATACCATGGACATGTTGAAGTGATTTTGAAGTCCTAACTGCTTATTCCTTAAGTATTTTACCCTGGATATCTCAAATCCTGAGTTAACGAGGTTGACTGTATACAAACTGCTAATGTTTCATGCAGGCGGGTAAAAGGGGTTATTTGATTACACATTGAAACTGTTTTTTCTCTCAATCTGTTCACAGCTGCCAACTCATCCATTGATAGAATTCACCATGAATAGAATTTTATGGTGAATGCTATCAATGGATGAGTTGTCAGTGTAGAGAAATATTCTTGATGGGGAGGGGTGGGGGGTATTATTATATTTTGAGAATTGAACAGTGCTATGAGTGGTAGTATTATTTCATTGTTGTGATGTGTATGAGAGAGAGAGTAACTTGATTTTTTGGGTTATAGAATTTCATCAGGACGATGAAATTCAACTGTTCTTCAATTTTCAACTTAGATTCAACTTTCATGGTAGTTTCAACTCTTTTTCAACTTAGATTCAACTATCAGGGTAGATTAATTCTGTTTTTTTTTTTCTTTCATGAAATATCAAATATGTATACTGTATTTGACCCCATGATTCTGTTTGTTTATAAGAAATTTGTCCATATTTGATGTTGTTCAGTTATGAGTACACATAATCTGTGTATATTTGACCTAGCTGCTTTAAATTGTTGGTATTTTGTGCTCTACAAGTTTTTGATTTATTATGGTGCTATTTACTAGAATTACTTGAGTATTAGGTTTACATATTAAGTTTTTTGTGTATTTTTTTTTTTTTTTTTGGTCAATAAATGTAATTTGTTTTTATAAGATAGAGTTTTATTTTTGTGTATTTGCCCCCCCCCCCCCCAGTGAAGTTTGGAGGGGTATATATAAGAGCCAGCAAATACAAGGACGCTGGCAGAAAAGGTGTAAAATTTGTGTCTGTGGAACTTTTCACAAAAAATCTCACAACTAAGACAATAATCTCCCAATTCATGAAAAGGTATTATTATAGTAGGTCACAAAAAATCTGATATTTCTATATGTGTTACATTAGAATATATTGTGAATAATCCTTACTAAGAAAAAACTGATATCTTAAAGGGGCAAGGACACAGATTTGAAGTTCATAGCCTCTAAAATCATTTCTTGTTGGATTGATTGATTAATAGTATGTTGTTTTACGTCCCATTCAAAAATTTTTCACTCGTATAGGGACGTCACCATATGCCGGTGAAGGGCTTCAAATTTTGACCTTTACTCAGCACTCAGGGCCATTGAGCAGTGAGGGATCTTTATCGTGCCAACACCTGCCGTGACACGGGGCCTGGGTTTTTAAGGTCTTATCCAAAGGACCAGCAACTTTCACTTGAAAGTGCTGAGCGCTTGGCGAAGGAACAGTTACTTCCTATTTTTTATCGACTTAGGTCAGTTGCAGCTGAGATTCGAACTCACAAGCTTCCGATCCAACTGAGCTACCGTGACGGTATTTCATGCTGGAAATATATCATGGATATCATATAAGCGTGTTAAGATATCCTTTTGCATGTTAAGATATCCTTTTTCAGAACTATGAATTTTGAGCATAATAGATTGTCACACACACATGTTGAACTTTCACAAGCTAAAATTTATCACAAATATTTTAAGAAAAATGGGAAAGCTGCAGTTTATAGATAAAAGACAGAATAGGAATGTCAGAAAGCTAAACCACCACAGCAGTGTCATGTTCAGTGATGCATGCAGTGTACACATGGCAAAGCAATAACAGACATGACAGAGGTTGAGTCCAAGTTTACAAACACAGGTGTTTGTTGTGAAGGCTAGGAAGATGCCCTTGTCATTTTATATGAAGACTTTTCATGTAAGATCAGTTCATTAAACTGAAGTTGTTCCTGAATTTATACAGAAATTAAAAATTATAAAAATTGACGTAAGAGTGTGTTAATTGTGACCTTGACATAGACTCATTTTTCAAGTGAAAGAAAAATCTAATTTCCAGTCCATACCATATTTTGTAATGGATAAACACTGCTTTTGACCTGATGATGCCGGTATCTCATGGTTTTGATTCAAGGTCATTTGAGCAAGTTCAAGGTTACTGACACAAAAAAAAAGATGAAATAAAAATTGTGTCCAGTTCATAGCTCTTCCTGCCCTATCTCTCACTCTTTCTCTCTCTCAAAAAAAGATTTCTTATGAGCTGAGAGTATATATACTTTACTTGTATATTTACTTATATGATACTGCAAAAAAGATAATAAGGAATCAAAACTTACAACATAGAAACAATAATATCACTGTCACCACACCACGGACATTCTCAGAGAAGTCAGGACCATGTTTTTTCTCAGAAAAGTAACGTCATAGTCCCACGATTTTTCTCGTCAAAGTCGGGCACAAGGTTTTTCTCTTTAAAATCTGGTATCACATTTTTTCACAAAGAAAGTAGATCCTACGGTTTTTTTTTTCGTAGAGAAATCAGGTTTCACGTTGTTGTTTTTTTTCCAGAGAAGTCAAGTTTCACGTTTTTTTCTCAGAGAAGTCAAGTTTCATTTTTTTTTTCTTACAGAGAAGTAAGGTTTCACTTTTTTTTTACAGGGAAGGCAGATCTCACGTTTTTCTTGGAGAAGGCAGATACCACGTTTTAGCTCTTTTGAGCCAAAAGCTCAAAGAGCTAATGCTATGGCCATTTGAATATGGGCCATAACTCAAGAGCCCTTGGCCAATTATTGTCAAATTTGTCACAGGGTATCCTTGGCCCAAGGGCTCCCATTTATATTTGTACTAAAACTAGGGTTGTGACCCTTAAACAAGGGGAGATAAATAGGTAAAAATAAACAAACAAAAGTACTGGTTGCTAAAAAATCTCCTTCTCAAGAACCACTGAACAGATTATTACCAAACTTATACAAAAGGATGAGGATATGTTGAAGATTTAAAAAATTCCAAGGCATCACCCTGGGGCAAAGGATGTGGCCTCAAGGTCACTTCAAAGTTGACCTAAAATTAGATTTTATTAAAATGTTGATATTTTGCTTACTATCAGGACTACATGTAGGATCATCAAATCTTGTCAGTTGATGCATC